GACTTTATCAGGGAGTTCATTAATGTGATTCTATGTTTAAGGCAAACCACTATTTTCCTGGTAAAATAATTTAAGATATACATGTATTTAAACTTGTAGAAATGTTGATGAAATAGCCAGATATCTAATTATAATCTTATTTATTTAGTTACACATGCATATTTAAAATAACATTATATACAGCCATAGATACAGAATATTGCTTTAACCCTATTCTCACATTTCAAGTACATTTTTTTTTTCAAACTCTGCGTGCATCTTGTACATCCACGTCTTCAATATGTGCCACAGTTTCTTGAAGTTTATCTCCATTTGAATCTAAGTTGTTTGAGATACATTTTAAAAATATTTCTTTGACACTGTCACTCAAAGTTTGGTAGAAATCACTTTTAGGACAGTGATTAAGTCATATTCCCAACTTATGATGTAAGTGCATTTATAATCCTTACAATAAAATTATTTATTGCTTTTGAAATTGCTCTTTGAATGGCTGGTTTATAAGAACTCTGGTAGTGAGGCAATTATCTCCTGGACTTATCACTAAGTTTCTTCCCTCCCCTTGTTAAACCCATCCCAACAGGAGGAAATCTGTAAGTGAACATGACTTGCATCATCTGTGGTTGTTGTGCACTAAATAATGTCAGGAGAAACCAGAGGTAGAGCAGCTGCAGATGAGCCTGGCTACTAGGTGCAACTGCAGAGTAAAACAGCATTCCTGGGTGAGAAAGGCCAAACTGCTTGGCCTTTGTGTTGGTGGGCGAACTGTTACATGGACAGTGGATTTTTGGAACGGAAATGGGCGGATGGAAAAGCGGAGAGTATGCATTAAACAGAGATGGCCAGGAGTGTCCTGTAGCTGAGCAGGTGGCAGGAGACAGCCTCCACGCGGCAATGGAGGGCGGGAAGGACATGGAGGCAGTGCTGATCACTAGTGGCTGACGTGGTCAACATGGATACAGGATCCCGGCTCAGCTATGGGGAAAGGGGAGGGGATAGCCTGCACATGTCAGAACTTTAAAACTGTGGTAATTTGAGGGGAAAGCTACACGGTGACTAGATTCATGAATCACAAGAGGGTATGCAGCAAGACTGCCCCCAACTCATTATAAGAACTGTCAGTTTCCAGACAGCTCGGAGCAAAGGCATGTCCAAGGGACAGCTGCATTCTCAGCAACTACAACAGGCATTTAACAGAAGGAAGAGAAGGAAAACAAAGAGGGTCAAGAAGGAAATGAGGTACCAGTGTGCAAAGGGGGTGGACTTGGAAGCCATGGTGAAGAGTTCAGAGGTTAGTTGGTATCAAGTGAGTGTAGGTGTGGGTGTGTTCCAAGGGGGACACAATTAGACATAAGTAAGATTTGTGCAAAGGGTTTCAATGGGTGTGATGCCAACCACCTAAAATTTAGGCTGTGGAAGAAGAATGTCTGGGGCACTGGGGCTGGAGATCTAGATAAGGCTGAGACTGGCCAGTGGCTTTTCTGAAGTTTAGAGGGGGCAGGGCAGTGCTTTGAAGGTCTCTGGTCTACAGTCTTCCAGTGGTGGAGAAAGTGGGTAGTTTCTGAAATGTCCTTGACCTTGAGAGAAATCTGAATACTACTAAAGGCCCCTGTGCTTGAGTGCATTGTGAACAGTTACACTTCAGTTACATTTCTGTGACACCTGGGAGCTCCCGTAGAAGGAAAGACTTTTAAAGGCAGATTCTTGAGTGATCTGAAGAGCAGCAACATCTGGGAATCTGTTAAATATGCAAGACTCCCATTTCAAAAAGCCTGCTGAAAACTCTGGGGGGCAGGTCCCCGTAATCTGTTGTAACAGGCTTTTAGGAGCTGCTGAGGCATGTGACAGCAGAATAACCACCATTATTCAGGTAACGAACGGAAGGAATGCTTTCAGCTCTAAAGTCACAATCCTTCCAGCTTTCCCTCTCTCTGACATCTGCTCCACTGTCCTGAGTACCAATAAGCCACAGAGAAAGATAAGCCCGACTGTGATGGAGCAGAACAGGGGTGGCGACAGCCTCACTGCCTGGATTTGATTCCTGGCTGTGAGGTCTTGCAGAAATTCCTTTATTGCTTCAACTTGTTTCATTTAGAATAAGGGGAGTTACTTACCTTCTAAGACTACCACAAGGATGAACTGGGATTCAGCCTGGCACAGAGGCACTCAGTGATGCTGGCTATTGTCCCTACAGAGAACTCAGGAGACCTCACAACAGCTCATACTGTCCAAGGCATGCATTTTATCATACATTCAGCTAACATTTATTTTTTTGCTTCTAGTTCCTCAAATTTCACATCGAAAAGCTCCACAGAATGCTTCCTAGAGTGCTGTGATTACTTTCTTCTGAGTTCTGTTCTACTCAGAGATGTGTCTTGCTGGCCACAGAGATTAAGGTGAACACATGTGTCACCAAGATGCTCCGCACCCGAGTGTGCCTGACCTTGGGAGGGAATGGGAAAGACAGACCCTGGTTCACAGCCCCTGAAGAGTCAGTGGCTGTGCAGGCAAAACGGCAAAGGCAAAAGGGTGATTCCTTCTTAGGCCCCTCTTTTCCTCCAACTCTAGGCCCCAGTTACAGCTTCCTCTGGGGATGGCAAGCCTGATCCAGGAGGAAAAAATATGAGCACACATTTTAGACAGGACCTCGAATTCTATCTCCTCTTCAGTAGACTAGAAACTCCAACTGGCTGGAAATTTGTTCTATTCCTTCCTGTGTCGCTGCATCATAAATAGTGCCTGGCATTTTGTGATCCTTCACATACTTCTGAACAGGGGTATACTCGCTAAACTAAAGAGTTTATCATTATTATTCTGCTTGCTATTCGCCAAGAGCTGGGAGCATGGAAGGCTGGTCCACCACTTACAGCTATGCTCAAGTACTCAAAGGAGCATCTTCCACCGTGTGCATGGCACATGGGATTCTTACACTGATGCACACAGAGATCAGCAGATAACCAGTTAGACCTGAATCTCGGTATATGCGAGAGACCTGGGTATCTGAAGGGGGTAAGAGTAATCACAATCATCTTCTCACTGCTTACTTGACAAGCTCCACAGTGCGACGAGGTCCCACTTAGGAGCAGTTCTGCTGATGGGCTTTTCTTTTCCTGAATGTGATGCGCGCGCGCGCACACACACACACACACACACACACACACACACACACACACACACGTCCCTCAAATGTCCTTTATAATTATTTCTACCTGTTCAAAACCCATATTTCCATACTTTCTACTCCACTGTTCCTAGTCCTGCCCCAGAAGAAAAGCCCTCCTCAGTGCTCAGAGTCTTTATCTATAAAAGGTCACAGAGGATAACTGTTAGTGCAAGCATCCCAAGTTGAATCTTTCAAAAGTTATGGCTGTAGCTAGGTGATCACTGATAAACTTTGTAGTGATTACTGCTGTCCATTATCTTAAGTTTGCATCAGTTACTAACTGAAATATCTTCTATCTATGGATTTATTATAGTTGCTAAAAGCGGGAGAGTGCTTATTCTTCATAACAATGTTGGGAAGCATGAAAAGGTCATGGTGCAAAACGCCAGCGTCCTATTGGTAAGGAGCTCACAACAGGTCAGAGACCCTTTTCCTGGGTCACAGGAAGTCCTCACTTTAAAAATAAGGGAGTATCTTTTGACTCCATTAGTTTAGTATTCCACTTTGGAGAAAATATACAAGTAACCAATGAAGATTTGATGAAATATTCTCCAGAATTCAGTGGTACTTTGAAATAACATCAAATGCAGACAATCATTGGAAATCAGAGCATTTTGGTAGTATTAAAGTCAGGTGCCTTTTGTTAAATAAAACTCACTTTAGTCTAGTTTTATAAAAATGCCCAAATGCACTCTAAGGATACCTGAGGGATCCGGAGCCCACAAAGAGGATGCGGGCCTAGAATCAGAACCAACAAGTCCTTAGGACAACCAAGGACTTGCTTATGTCTGTCTTCCTACCCAGAAACATTTCCGTTCATGCAACACTCATAGTCCTGACTTTCTAAATGTCCCATCCAAAACATTACCCCAGCATTCTTCCTCCCCCTATAAAATTCACTGCTTGGTCACCCTGCCAAAATCATAAACATGAAATGTTTTCTTTGGCCCGTTTAGATGAGCTGGGGGTAGGGAAGGCACAAAAGCCCTCCCCGGGCCATGCCCACCCAACAGTGCAGGAGGCGCCAGTGCAGTCGCTGTGTGGCAGGCAGTGGCCCACCTCCCAGTGTCACCGTGTGCTTTGCTACGAGGACTTATAAAAAAATAGTCAAGTTTGTCATTTGCTGCAATTCAGAGTGACCTTCCTCCTCCAAATGTCTGCTTAACCAGTCACAGTTCCAGCATTAAAAATTTCTTACATTTCACACAGGTTTATGGAACACTGAAACCCTAGTAGAAAATGTTATAAAAATCTGATCCCTACTGTACTGCTCTTCACTGGACTTGGTTGACATTTCTTCTTAAAGAAATGATGAACACATCTTTAATGTAACAAAAGGAATTATTTTCCCACTAACTTTCTCTTTTTTGGGGGGGATTGTGGTGGGACCAAAGGGGCTTTCCTAGACGTTCTAGGGTCAATGGAGCTACAATGAGCAACACTGGGGGGCTAAGAGGTGCTAGGGTCAAATCCAGGGTCTTGCACATGCAAGGCATATGCGATTCATATCTGCAATGATCTTTTTGAATAACTGAATTGATGTCAACAACATGAAAAGGATGGAGGTTCAACTAAATCTTTAAATTTATAAACACCTTGACGAAGAATTCTATTTTGTGGGTATAGGTACGGCGCCAGGAACACAGTCAGGGTTTGACATCAGATGAATCCAGTTCTAATTTTAAAATAAGCAAAGAATTTACTCTAAATCAAATATTAAATCTGTCCAATAATTCAGACCACAGTGCTACTGTGTTCCACTGCAGATGGGGGAGAAAATAACTGAAATCTCAAGCTTGTTATTTTCTTTCATCATACAACTACCGAAAGCTCCACCTTAGCAGCACAAATGACTACACATTATCTTAAATGGAAGCACTGGATTAGACAGCCTACAGTCTCACAGATATTGTTGCTCCAAAACATGCAAAGGTGGGAAGATTACCCCAAACCATACTTTACTCTATAACCTTACTACTGCTTTTTGTTAAAGACTGAAGCAAAGTGAGGCAGGTGGAAAAGAACAAAGTGAGTTACTCACATCAAGTACACCTAAGAAAACTTCAGCTCTATGCTGTACGCTCCAAACACAAAGGTAAATCTAGTAGTGGCTCATGGTCTGGGTGTTTGTGAAACAAGTGAAATATCGGGAAGAATCAACACATTTCAAATAGAAGAGCCATAAATGCCCTGGAAGCAGAAAGTTGACACAATTTTAAATATAATTCATATATATATTTTAAAATCAAACACAATTAAATAGAATATGGTTTAAGTACATGAATACTTTGCTTTAGAATAACAGAGGTGGTACATAGTACCAAAACTTATACATAGCCTTGTTGCTTCTGTTGATGAAACAGTGTGCCTCTAAACAATCAAATATTGCAATGAAATAAATTCTCTATTCATTCAAGACTTTCTCAAGGACAGAGGTGATTAATAATCATATGTATTTATATAATTTTTGTGTGTTTTTTGCAAAGTCTGAGCAAAAGCAGTAACACCTAAGAGAATGAATGCTCTTTCCCCTTGCCACATGAGCTGAGGAGGCCTTGGCACCGCTCGGCCAGGGAAGTGTGCTTGCCAGAGGCAGCCACTGAGGGCTGCAAGGTTCAGGACAGCGAGGGCGTCTCCTACTGTCCCCGAGACAGAAGGAAGAAGGGGCATCCCTGCACACTTCCCAGCTCACAGAAAAGAAAGGGGAGAAGGTCAAAGCTGAAATCTTCCCCCCACCCAGCCCCTATTCACCCACCTTTAAAAAAGAAAGTACAACCTGGGAATAAACATTTAGCTCAGTGTACCACAGGAAGAAACTGGAGTGACGTTAGCACTTAATTCCTTTCCAAATGCTTTCTAAAGGAAAAATTAGCGATCTGGAGTGCAGCATTCCAGAAGAGTTAGTCTTAATGCTCAAAGTCAGTAGAGGCATCCTTTTGTTTGCAGGGGAGTCCCAGTTCAAGCGGACTCACCTCCGGAGCAATCAGAATGTGAAAACCATATCCTGACACCAGAGGGAAGGACTACATCATGACACTCATCTGTCAGCTTCCTTCCAAATTAATGCCTCTGTGAAGGCAGCAAGGAGCTTTTACCCAGCTGGAGAAAACCACCAGCTAGCACCACGCTGCCACACCCAGCTGCCTGGCGCTCAGACTCACCCTCCTGACTCCCCAGTCTCAGGTCAGAGCAAAGCACCTCTGGCACCTCTTCATGCTGTGTTAGAGTGGGTTCTCACTACAGAGTGTGCATCAAATACCAACCCTATGTTGATCTGCCTCCCACAGTTTGTGGTCCCTGTCTATTCTATTCTAGGGGACTAAAACGCTCTCACAAATGGGTTATTGCCATTGGAAAACGATTAATTCTCTAGTAATGTAAACAATACCACTTGGTCTCTGCATGACCGCCCTGTGTGAACGTGTGAACAACCACGCCTCCATGTCACTCCGCTCTGAAGCCTGGATTGTTCGCCCAGCAGTGGGAGCAGCGAAAGGGGGTCAGTGCTTGTTGTCAGGGCTGCGCTGAAGTTTCCAGCCAAAGGGAAAAAGTTATCTTCTTTTTAAAAGCAGATTTCCTTTATGGCAGATCTTGAGTCATAGCTGAAAAATGATAAAAGAAAAAGAAAAAGGTAAGCTCCATTTCTGTAACAGTGACATTATCATTATAGATTAAGGAAGAAGGGACCGTCCTAATCACCACATACCAGGTCTCAGAACAGCCAGAATCTGACTATAAAGCATGTAAGATGAAATTCTCTAGGTATTCTCATCTACATATTAGTGATTAGAAGCCTAAAGAGGTTAAGCAGCTCACTCTAAAGTTGTATAACAAGGACCTGTACCAAGAACGCTATTATCTATTTTGGCAATAAATATTAGAATAAAATATCTTTAAACAGAATATTCTACTACAGGAACTAACCCTATGGTATACTAATAAGACAGCAAAGACTCACACACAGACATTCATGAAAATACTTATAACAGGGAGAAACATCCACAGGGATTATATGGAGACAGAGCTCTCTTGTGGAACTGCAGAGCCTTAGACAGCACGGGGCATGCACACAGCCCGGGCTCATCTCTGCACACCAACAGGCCCAAGCAGGTCCCATCCTCAGCCAGAGCACTGAGCTGCCTGGCCTGGTTGGCCTACACTCTTGGAAGTGGCACTAGGCCCCCAAGACTGCGAGTAAGCCCCCGCCCCCGCCCCCACCAACGCCTTCCTAAAAGAAATAAAGAGCTTTGCTCTTCTAGCCTTCTGAGACCCAGCACCTATGGCTAAGTGCAACCTGACTCAGTGTTGAGAAGAAACAAACAGAAAGACCAGACCGTTACTATTTCTGAGAGAAAAGATAAATCTAAAAGAATTCAGTCTAATACTGGGAGGCAGCCTAGGCTCAATGCCCACAGGCATTCTCCAGACAAGTACAGAGCAAGGGGCTCAGAGCAGAGGAGGACATTCACAGATGTAGGTTTCTAAGAATAAGAGGCTGGATCGATAGCACAGCGGGTAGGGCGTTTGCCCTGCATGCAGCCAACATGACTGACCCGAGTTCAATTCCTCCGCCCCTCTTGAAGAGCCCAGCAAGCTACCGAGAGTATCTTGCCTGCACAGCAGAGCCTGGCAAGCTCCCCGTGACACACTTGATATGCCAAACACAGTAACAAGTCTCACAGCAGAGACGTTACTGGGCCCACTCGAGCAAATCGATGAACAACGGGAGGACAGTGCTACAGTGCTAAGAATAAGCTATCAGGGCTTTTCCCCTTTGCTTCTGGGGCCACGCCTACCGGTACTAAGGGCTTACTCCTGGCTCTGTGTTCAGGGCTCACTTTTGCTGGGCTTGGGGGACCATATGGGATGTCGGGGATTGAACCCAGGTTGGCCGCATGCAAGGCAAATGCCCTCCCTGCTTCACTCAGGCCTCCAAGGTAGCTTTTACTGAATAAAATTTACTAAGAAAGAAGTGAGGTTAGACTGAGCCAGTCAAGATAAATACACAGGGCCTAAGAGAACACAGGAGACAAGGCGCTTGCTTATCCCCAGGCCGCTGTGGCTCAACACCTGATAGGGCATAGGGTTCCTCCAGCCACACAGAGCCGAAATAGTCCCTGACTACTGCTCAGGGGGCCTACACTTCAGAAAAGAGAAATTTACACAGAACTCAGCCTTGGGCCAGAAAGATAACTCACCAAGGCGGAGCATATGCTTTGTGCCAACTACAGACTGTTCTCAATCCCTGACACCTCAGTGGTCCCAAGGAACATAGGGAGCACTCCTTGAGCACCGCACCAAGAGTAGCCCTGAGCACCACTGTATATAGCCCCCAAAACAAAACCATGCAATCATCCTTACATAGAAAATTTGGAAGTCTACAAAGGCAAACAGAGCTTTTGTATGAGTTAGCCTTTGTATGAAAATTTCAAAATTATATCAAACTCTAGTAATCTTAATAGTTAAAAAGTTGGCGAGGGTAATGCTGGTAAGTGTAATCATGGTCACAATCCTCCCGTTGTTCATCGATTTGCTCGAGTGGGCCCAGTAACGTCTCTATCATGAGACTTGTTGTTACTGTGTTTGGCATATCGAATACATCACGGGGAGCTTGCCAGGCTCTGCCGTGCAGGCAAGATACTCTTGGTAGCTTGCCAGGCTTTCCGAGAGGGGCGGAGGAATCGTACTCAGGTCGGCCATGCTGGCCGCCTGTAAGGCAAATGCCCTACCGCTGTGCTATCAGGTAAGTGTAATGATGGATCTAAATCTAAATTTAAGCCCTCCAGAAAAAATATTTACATGCCATTTATTTGACAAAAAGCTAATAAGAACGCCCCCCCCAAGCAAAACCAAAAAATACAAAAAAACAAAACCTACAACAAATAACCTCATCCAAAATTGGGTAGAAGTAGGTAGGGCACAGATGGGGCTGGAGCAATAGTCCAGCGGGGAGGGCGTCTGTCTTGCCATGTGGCTGACTTGAGCACCACTTAGTGTAGAGCCAGGAGTAACCCCTGAGCATGGCTGGGTGTGACCCCAGAACAAAACAAAAAATTGGGTAGCAAAACTGAACAGATAGTTCATCTAAAACGGCACAGTTGGAGGCTGGAGTAATAGCACAGTGGGTAGGGAGTTTGCCTTGACGGGGCCAAGGTTCGATTTCCAGCATCCCGTATGGTCCCCTGAGCACTGCCAGGAGTAATACCTGAGTGCATTAGCCAGGAGTAACCCCTATGCATGGCTAGGTGTGACCCCCCCAACAAAAGGGGCACAGATGGGAGAGATAAAAACAAGCTGCTGGAGTGTATGCTCTGCACGCAAGAGACCCGAGTTCTATCCCTGGCACTGATGGCCCCCATAAACAGTGCACAAGTAGGGTGGAGTCCAAAACCCATAAAATCAAAATAAAATCAATCACATCCAGGGGCTAGGGATAACACAGCGGGCAGGGTACCTTGCCTTGGATGTGAACTGACGGAGAGTCTGATCCCTGCCATCACATAGCCCTGAGCACCAACAGAACAAGACAGAACTGATCACAAATATCCAACTGACTTGTTCCTAAAAAGCACTTAACGTTAGGCTGGCTGGAGACAGTACAAAAATTAGCCTCACCGAAGGCCCCCAGGGCCTCACCTATGCCACACCCTCAAGTCCAAGCACTGAATTGCTGTGGTCTGGTAGGCCAAACATTGTCAAGAATGGGCCTTGAGGTGCACTGAGATTGCTTATGAGCACCCCCACCACACACACACACACACACACACACACACACACACACACACACGGATAAGAGAACAAGAAACAAATTTAAGACTTGGCACATCAAAAGACATTCAGTAGAGAACATTTTATTAAGACTAAAGTGGAGAAGACTGAGCAGTACCCTGACCGACAGTGGGGATCCCTCCACACGCAGACACTCAGAACTAGCAGCACCAGTGCCTGTGGCAGTGACTAAGGGTGGCTTAGCAAAGAGGAGGGGGAGCACCATACCAGCAGCGCTCAGGGGCAACATCACCTATGTGCTGAGAATGGACTGACCAGCTGCTGGCAAGGCAAGTACCTTGCCCACTGTTCTAGTGGATCCTAGCTCTCAACCCAAGGTCGAGTTTAAGAAGACTATTCAAGAAAACAGATCTACAGTTATTGTCCTGCAAATTTTCTTTTTTTTTTTGGGGGGGGGCGGTGGTCACACCTGGTGTTGAGGGCTTACTCCTGGCTCTGCACTCAGGAATAATTCACTCAGGAATTATCATTCCTGACAGTGCTTGGGGGACTTGCACTGTCAGGAATGACTTGCACTTGTCAGAAATTATTCCTGGTGGTGCTCAGGGGACCAAATGGGATGCTGGGATCGATCCCAGGTTGGCCACATGCAACCTCTGCATTTCACTCCGGTCCCCGTATACATACTAATAAATATTTTTCTCTTATTAAAAAAAGAGGGGGTGGGGGCAAGGGTCAGAGAGAGAGAGAGAGAGAGAGAGAGAGAGAGAGAGAGAGAGAGAGAGAGAATACATTAGGTAGGGTGCTTGCCTTGCACACCTCTGACCTGGGTTCTATTCCCAGCACCCCATATGGTCTCCTGAGCACCACCAGGAGTGACTCCTGAGTGCAGAGCCAAGAGTAACCAGTGAGTAATGCATGGTGTGGCCTGGAACACAAAAACAAAAAAGAAGGAAGGGGGGCAGTGGTACAGCGCAGCCTTTTCTCTGTGAAGTTCTGGGTTTGATCACACACACACACACACACACACACACACACACACACACACACACACGCACTCACACGCTCACACAGAAAGTGCTACTGGCTACTCCAATTAGATCCCTAGCACAACATATGGTTCCCCAGCAAAGACCCCTCAGTACTGAACCAGGAGTAAGCCCTGAGCACCCTTATGGTAATTTTTAACAAATTGTCAAAACTACTACTGATCTGACACATATATTGGAAATGATTCCTTAACAAGTTGTTACATTTACCACTCATACAGTCACATTTAAATAGTAAAAACCCTGAAGATGCTCATTAGCCACTTTCTACCACCTACAGGAACTAGTCAGCAGGCTGTATATTAGATCTCCAGAACTACACATCACGTAACCTCAGTTTCTAACCTCAGCCCCACTTCTCTTCATTTCCTCCAACCCCTGGTGCCAGGCAACAACCCGCTGTTTCTATGTGCTTGACTTTTTCATTTCCACACATAAGCAAAATCACAGTCCTTGTCTTTCTTGAACATACTTCCCTTGGCACAATGCCCTTACGGAATCCTCTCTGTCACAATGGCAGGCTTCCCTCCCACAGCCCAGTGGCTGAATCATGTATTCCTTTGATCTTGATTATGTCTTTATTTGTCTGTCAAAGTGGGAATCTGACTGAGGTAGTGAATTAAGTTTTTTTTTTTTTTTTTTTATTGTGGGGGCCTCACCTGGCACTGCTAAGGCTCCTGGCAGTGCCTGGAAGCCCTGAGCTCTAATGCCTGAGCCACATTCCCGGCATGGTCTCTTCCTTCCTAGTATGTACCGTTAAGTCCGATGGCTGGATCTTATGGGAGTTCTATTTTAAAACTTAGGAGTGCAACACCTCCATGCTGTTTTCCAGAGCAGCTTTAATAAGTTAGAGTTCTGCCAACAGTGAACAAGAGTTCCTTTGTTGTCCACATCCTTACCGACAGAGCAATTTCTTGTATGTGATAACAGCCATCTTAACATGTGTGAGGTGAGAAGTCACAGCACTTCTGATTTTCACTGCCCTAATATTCCAGTGATACTAAGTTTTCTTTCTCCTCCTTCCTCTCTCTCTCCGTTTTAGGCCATAGCCAGAAGTGCTCAGGAGACCACCAAATGCAAGGCAAGCACCCCACCCACTGTATTAACACTCTTGCCCGTTTTCTTATACATCTGAATGTTATCTATGTGTTGGTCATCTGTGTGCTTGTTATGGGAAAATGTCTATTTAGGTAGGTCCTTGACCCATTTAAAAATTTTCTATTTTTTGGACCACATTCAATGGTATATAGGACTTACTCCTGGGTCTGCATTCAGGGATCACTCCTGGTGGGACTGGGGGACCATGAGGTACCTGGGTCAGATGCATGCAAGGCAAGTGCAGTACCTGCTATACTGTATCACTGCACTCCCCTTGGCTCTTCTAAAATCAAATGGACAATGGATTGAAATAGACAACGGTTGCTTTCTTGCTACTGAAATGCATGAGTTCCATATATATATACACACATATTTGATACATAATTCAAATTCAATGTCCTTAATAGATCCAGCATTATTCAGGTTCCCTATTCTTTTTCAGGGATTTTTGGTAACTTGGGTCTTTCAAGGATTTTTATCCATTCTATCTAGGTTGTGGAAACCACACTCATTCATTTTCATGAACCTAAGACCTAGTTACATTCTCTCTTCCAAGCCTATACTGGTTTATTAATCCTTGCATTGATGATTCCTATCTTTTTCACCTCAATATGGCAAGGTGTTTATCAATAAGTCTTTTCAAAATGCACTCTGCTTCCATTCCTCTATCCTTTTAGATTTTGTGCCACCTCAGGAGGTGCTCTGGGGTCACTCCCAGCAGTGCTGAAACAGCCACACATATAGCTCATCTGCTGAGTTATCTCTTTGGTTCCTGTTCTGTCTGTTTCTATGTAACTTAGTTGCCTTTAACTTTTTTGTTCCTGTCTAGTTAAACAATGATTTTATTGCTTGAATACTCATATTTATGCAACCAAAGCAGTTTATGAATCGTATTTCCAGCTGGGGCGAGGGAAAGATTTGTTCGGTCTTATATTAGCCAGCCAACTATAAATACAGCTCTTAGTCAGAATAAGAGAGAACTTAGCATCCCTGTCCTTACTGGGCATCTCAAGATACAACAGTTTTCTGAATAAAATGGCAGAGTCAAGAAAATCAGGGGCAAGTCCTTTAAGGTTTAAGAACTGTTCAAAGTTTTATTGCTTGTCACAAAATGCATTTGTGCAAGACCACTGGAGTTCCTCAAGATGATATAAAATCTGCTTGTTTGTTTTTTTGGGCTACACCTGATGGTGCTCAGGTGACTGACTGTATATGATGCTGGGGATTCAAACTGAGGTTGGCCATGTGCAAGGCACGTATCTCAACTCCTGTACTGTCGCTGGCAGTAATAAACATTACTGCCAGAAATACTTGATTACTACACAGAAATGCTTATTACTTTCTTCTGTTGCTTTCTTTAAAAAGATTGAAACCTTTTATTTCTTTTGTGGGGGTCATGCTAAAAATACTCAGGGATTACTCCTGGTGGTGCTCGGGGATGCCAGGGATCAAACAAAGGTTGGCCACGGACAAGGTAAACGCCTTAACCCAACCACCCTACTCTCTGTACTATCTTTTCAGACCCAAGACTGAGACCTTCCTCATGTCTTACACGCAAAAACATTGAATACCATTAATTTCCCTTAAGACACACTTTGGCAGGTCTTGTGCTTTCATTTTTAATTTTGTCCAAAATACGTTCCAACTTCCTTTTGATTTGTTTTTTTTTTTTGCTTTTTTTGGGTCACACCTGGCGATGCACAGGGGTTACTCCTGGCTCATGCACTCAGGAATTACTCCTGGCGGTGCTCAGGGGTCTATATGGGATGCTGGGAATTGGACCCGGGTCAGCCGCATGCAAGGCAAATGCCCTACCCGCTGTGCTATCTCTCCAGCCCACTTTTTGATTTTTCTTTGAATCATGGTTTACTTAGAAATGTTATATTCTGAATTCTCCACTTATCTTTCTATTGTAAACTTCTTGTTTAATTCTTTTTTGGTCAGAGAACAGGATGATTTCAATTCCTCAAATTTAATGAAACTTGTTCAATGATCCAGAATACAGATGCCTTGTTGAGTTTTCAGGTGTATCATGATGTTTCAGATGCACTGTTTAATAATAACCATTTAGTTCAAATTGCTTGACAGTGTTGTTAAAATATTCGATACATTTGTCTGTCCATTAGTGAGATAGGTTTACTAAAATCACTTACAGTTATTACGGATTTGTGTTTTTCCTTTGTAGTTCTACCATTCTATCATTTTGGGTTTTTTTTTTTTTTTTTGGTTGTTGTTTCTAAGTTCTGCTATTAAGTACGCACACATTGAAGATTCTGGTCTCTTGGGTAGTGTTTTTGTGTGTGCGCGCTGCTGCCGGTGATCAAATTCAGAGCCTTACACATGCAAAGCAAATGCTTTACCACTAAGCCATATTCATATACCATCCTTAACTGCTTAAGATGCTTTAATTAGCACCAGAGAAAGGCACAATGTTTCTGAAGATACTACTCAATGTTCTGTATACTGAGCTCTGCACCCAGGTCAATAGTCCCAAGTTTCAAAAACCGTTCAGCCTATAATTTTTGTAGTTCTTTTTCTGGTCATGAGAATTTTTATCCCCACCTATTGTAAAAGGTCAGTATCACAGAAATGAAGGGGACAACCTAAGTTATCACTGGATTTCTTCCCGTGCAGACTGTTCTTTCCTGATAACCTATTCTGTAACTTCCAGCTACTTTGGGCTCTCCAAACTATGGTCACTTTTTTGTTTCATTCTGGCCACACCTGACAGTGCTTAGAAGTCCTTTGTGGTAATGCTCAGGGATCAAAAGAGAGTCGGACACATGGAAGGCAGGTGCCTCAACTGGTGTAGTATCTCTCTAGCCTAAACTCTAATTTCTGATGTTTCAATTCACCAAGACTACTGACCGCTCAGGATTATGTCCTTTCTTCATTCTGGAGATACTTGTTTCTGGATAGTAAGTTAGGGATGTTACCTGGCCCCGCTCCCCAGGATGGGATGCCAGGAACTGAACCCGGGTCAGCTGTGCAAGGCAAATGCCACTCTGGCTCCAATGTCACCCTTTTTATTAAAAGGATCACGCTCCCATTTTCTGAAGTCAAAATAATTGTTTCAATTTGATAGTTTCTATTTTTTTCTGAGTGTGTAATTTCCATAGCAGTGATTTCCTTCAAAGACAGAAAGAAGCGCCTCTATGTAGTTTTTGAAGTGTTTGTAGATAGAATCTTACCCTTCTCGGTTTTTAACAGGAACCACAGAATAGTCATCTTTGAGACTGACCTTTGTCGACCTCTCTAATGGCTGGTCACATTGCGCCTGCTGCATGACGTCACTGACGATCATCTTAGCAATCTTCCAAGCTAGTTCTTCTTGGGTCTAAAAGAAGTAATTCAAACAGTTGGTAACAGTTACTCATGACAAATCAAGACATTCATTTTCAGTGCTCTCAGCAAATCTATCATGCATATCATTCAATTGGCCAAGATGCGTATTTCTACTTATGAAAGGACCCGAGTCACCCTCCCTGGCTCTGGTAAGTAATAATCTAGGCATCTGTCTCTCTTCCAGTCAGCTGCTGGTGATCAACTTTTCACAGTAAACGGTCAAAACAAAACATCTTTCTTTTCCCACTCTCATTTCCCAATGAATTTAACTACTGAAAACGCAAATTTCCATTTCTGAAAGTTGAAACTGACAATGAGAGAGGAAATATTTGCGCTTCTTTTTCTATATGAATATTATATCTGCTGGCTGAGGTAATCCCGAATGTGTGAGTATCTTTCTGTAGCCGGTCTCTGGACTGAAGACACTCCGACTGTTCCCTCCAGGTAATCAGAAGCTAAGACAGGACCACCCTGTCCTATTACATCCTGGAAAAGGGAGCAATGATGTGCCATGCTATTAACTGTGAGAATTAAAGGAAGAGAACCTTCAGGTGAACAAGGTGCCACCTATAAACAGGAAACCGTTTTGTACTTAAAATAAAATTTACCTCATCAGTATTTCCTTGCACCCATTTCTTCATAGCTTGTGAGAACATGGATCCTAATAAACAAATCCAAAATTCAATCAGATTTCATAAATAATTTCACATTTAAAAATGCTCTTATTTAAAAGCTACCCCGTACTCATGACTTAGTCCTAGCTCTGTGCTCAGAGGTCACTTCTGGTGGGCTCAGAGACCATCTGGGTGCCAGAATCAAACTCCAGTCAGCAGAATGCAAGGCAAGTGCCTTACCTGCTCTACTATATCACTTCAACCCTTCTTTTAGTTTTTTGGTGGGGAAGTTGTTGGGGGAGAGCACATCCACTGATGCTCAGTGGTTACTCCTGGCTCTGCACTCAGGAAACTAGTCCTAGAAGTATTTGGGGAACCATATTGGCTGCTGGGGATTGAACCTGAATTGGCCACCTGCAAGGCAAGTGCCCTACCCACTGTACTGCTGCTCTGGCCCAAATAATATCATTTTTCATTCAGACAACCCATACTAAATTTTTTTTATATCTTCAGTTATTCTACATAAAATTTCACCTTGCTTGGAATGCAGTCTCTGTAATTCCACCATGGAAGGCTTATAAACCTGACCTTCTAACGTCTGCTATTACGTCTATAACTTCATAAACCAGAACCTTCTCTGCTATCAGTCTTTACCCAACTCCAATTCATTCTCATACAAGTGTCAGAAAAATGCAACAATACTCAGCTTAGAAATCCTGGCAAGGATCCAAGCTTCTTCACATCTGATATACTAGGGGCGATCACAGATACGCACAACTTTCCAACAGATTCTGCACCCAGGCACCTGACAACGCCACTGTAGGGACCTTAAGTTCATGACTTTAAAATATTTTCTTTTTACACTTTTTCCTCCTAGATGGTTTACTTTCTTTTGGAGGGATGTGACCTTGGATCAAACCCAGTGATGCTCGGGGGCTATTTCTCACCCTGTGTCCTGGTAGTGCCAGGAATCTGAATCACAGTCAAGGCCACAGAAGCAAGGGAAGTGCCTTAGCTCCAGAAGTATCACTCTGCCTCCAATTCTTTTTTTAAAAAAATAAAGTATGATCCCTAATTTAACACTCAGATAATGTGCACTGAAATCTTTCTTAATTAATAAAATCAACACATATTTATCTATTTATTTACTTGCCACATCTGGTAGTGCTTCAGGATTACTAATGCTCTATGTAAAGGGCCCAACGGTGCCAAGGACGCTAGGGACTTCTGCATACAAAGCGTGCAGTTGGTTGTGCTTTCTTCCCAGTCCCATTCAATATATTTTTAATGATTGCCTTTATGTGTCAGGCATTACTTTAAAAGCTGGAAGTTATGTAACAAAATTGCAGTTTTCAGAGGTAATATTCTAGTCACAAAATAGAAAAAAATAGACAAGTATGTAAAATAAACGAAGATAATTTCAGGCAGTGAGTAAAAAAAAAAGAAAGAGGAGGATGTTAGTTGTACTGATGATTTCAGATCATGTGAGCTGGGAAGTCATCTTTAAAAAGATATATGAAAAGGAACCATTAAGTCTGCATGAAGCCCTGGGCTGGACTTATATGGCAGGACCATAGCTATTTGAGGACTTAAAGAGCTTCAGAAGAAGGATGAAAGATATCCAAGTAAAACTGAGTTTGTGAAGAAAGAAAGGTTCAAGCTAAAGTTGATGAAGCAAGAGCTAGGAGAGTCAACTAATGGGATAATGCATGATTTGCATGTAGGAAGCCTGGGTATATACCACACATATAGATCTACACAGTATATATGTATTTCACTATGGTATGGTCTAACCAAATGTGTTACCTTGTCAACAGTTAATGCAATTTCTAGTTTACAAGAAATACAAAGGAAAAGAAAGAAGCTTAATATAATAACAAGGAAACTCCATAAGGTTGGCCATTTTATAGAATAACTAGCATGCTACAAGTTACGGTTATTAAAAAGAAACTAAGGTACATTAAAATAAACGGAGACTGTATCTTTGTATTTGTGTCCTTAACATCTAGCACAAAGGAAGCACTCGAATGCTGAGTCAAAGAACTGAATCTGTAGTCTCCTACATTCACTTACACCCAAAAGATAATGAAGCACCATGATACATGGATGTGTTTATTCAAACTGCAAAAATTAACACTGACAAGTTTACATAGGTATCCCTCAAAAAAATTAACAATGGTGGATAGGCTTGTTAGGAAATTTTATAATGCAACTGAAGTATTTTCTTCTTATAAAATTATCTTTTACTAAGATAATACTATCAATCTTATGACACAAAATTCTAGATATTGGGGTTGGCAAGACAGTATAGTAGATAGGGAACTTGCCTTGACACAGCCAACCTGGGTTCAACCCCCAACACCCCATATGATCCCCCAAGCCCTACCAGGAATGATCCCTGATCACAGAGCCAGTAGTAAGCCCTGAGCACCACTGGATGTGGCCCAACCCTCCTTTCCCAACAAAAAATTGCTAGCTATCATCTGAACGGATCACACTGATTTCCAAACTTTTCTAGTACAAACCATCACTCGAAAGCTGAAATAAATTACAAAGAATGCTCTTGTCAAAAAAGATCTGACCTTGGGGCTAGAGAGATAGTACAGCAGGTAGTGCATTTGCCTGTGTGCTGCTAGCTGATCTTGGTTCAATATCTCATACCGCATGTTCCCATGAGCATGGTCAGGAGCAATTACTGAGTGTAGAGCCAGGAGTAACTCCTGAGCATTGCTGGTGTGGCCCCCAAACAAAAACAAAAGATCTGACCACGCACTTCTCTGGTTTTACAAAGGACTTGAATTTCAAAATTTTATCCAATTTGAAGGAATTAAAAAAATTAAGGGTTTGAAGCAATCCTCTAGTCCAAGTTGAAGTATGTATTCAGCATTAAATTAAAAAGTGACAATGTTTTTTTCCCCACATACGTATGTATTCAGTAATGGTAAACAAGCTCAGTAACTGACTCACAGGAATGTTCTTTACCAAGTCCTGTGATTTAGACACAAGGTAAAAGATATGTTGACTATTTCACAAAACAAACACCCTAAATCTTAAGCAATCCTTACATCATCTTCAATTATTAATGCAAGGAAAGCTTAATACAAAATATAAAAAAAATACCAACCTTTTGATTTCTTCACATCAGGTTCAGGCTCAGATTCTCGAATGAATTGGCCTAAATCACTGACTCTTCCAAAGGTCATCTTCCTAAAAATATGCATCAAAAGAACAGTTATTTTAGTGCATTTCACCTGAAACTAGAAACACACTTAAGAGTGCCAGAACCTACAGGGCAGGGTAGAGGGACACGGGCCGTTGAGTAGGGACCTGGTCAGTAATGAAACACACGTAAAATATCTATTCACATTCTTACTAACCAATGATGCAATACTAAAACTAATTAAGCAATTAAAAATTATAGAGCTCTAATAATAAAAAGCAAAGTTAAAAGAACACACTGAAAGATATTATTAACATAGTGACAGAAAATTCTAACAAGTCAATATGGAATTGCACAACCCAAGAAGTCGAAATTTGAAAAAGCAACTAATATGCCTTTTTGGCAGATGTGAGTGTTGGGGTAAAATCCCAAATAATAATGGTGGATCTGGTGTTGAAATATTGAATGTAATCAAAGTAGAGAGAGAGAGTAATGTGGCAACTATCTGTCAGAGTGGCAGAGGAGGGGGTAGGATGGGGGGTATATTGGAGTTTTTGGTGGTGGGAAATGTGCACTGGTGAAGGGACGGGTGTTTCATTATTTCATCTTGGTGTATGACCAAGACTTAAACTGAAAGCTTTGTAACTGCTCTCATGGTGACTCAATAGATTTATTCACTGTATCACTGTCACTGTCACCCCATTGTTCATGGATTTCCTTGAGCAGGCACCAGTAACGTCTCCATTCGTCCTAGCCCCGAGATTTTAGCAAGTGCCACATTGGAGGCTCTTTCAGGGTCAGGGGAATGAGACCCATCACTGTTACTGGGTTTTGGCATACTGAATATGCCACAGGGAGCTTGCCAGACTCTGCCGTGCAGGCAGGATACACTCAGTAGCCTGCCGGGTTCTCCGAGAGCGAGAATTAGACAATAAGAGGTCAATTCCTTGAAACTGAAATATAAATTTATTAAAAAAAAAAGACACATAATATCATAAAAAAAAAGAAAAAGCAAACTAATGAATTACTGAAGAAAACACGACCAACCAAACATGTCAAACATTCAATTACATTACCAATAATCCAAGATTGGTACAAAAAATTCAGCACTATCACTAATAATAGATAAGGCAAACAAGTACAGTTTATTAAAATTTTTAAATTGTTTCTCCATGTAAGTCCTCCAGTCATATGTAAGAAGCTTGCCTCGGAGGAAGATGGGGCATGGGGCAACTGGGTGTGAAAGGGACCTTGTGAGGGGGTGCTGAGAGATCATGTCATTAACAGTATTGTAAACCATCGTGCCTGAGATTTAAAAAAGGTTTTATTTTAGTGATAAGAATTAAAAAAAATTTTTTGAATCGAATCACCGTGAGATAGAGCATTACAAAATAGTTCATGACTGCATTTCAGTCCTACAGTGTTCCAATGCCCATCACTCCATCAGTGCACTTTCCCAGCACCAGTGTCCCCAGGTCCTTCCCACCCCTTCAAGCCCCCCAATGCAGCCTGCCTCTAGGGGAGGCAACCCTCCCCTCCCCTCCCCTCCCCTCCTCTTCTCCTCTCTCTCTCTCTCTCTCTCTCTTAGGTATTATGGTTTGCAATTCAGATGCTGAAAGGTTATCATCTATATCCCTTTACCTGCTTTCAACACTCAGATCTTGTCCAGAGTGATCATTTCCAAATAGTATTGTCATAATGAACTCTCCTCTATCTTACCTACCCTCCATCTCGCATATTAACCCAAAAAGATTTAAAAAAAATAAGTCCTCTAAATACTGTGTTATAACTGAAAACTTATGTGACTTAAAAATTCATCAATATCAAAACAGTGGTGTAACATGGAATATTTGCTAGATATAACCTGTAATGAATGTTATACATAAAATCTATTAGCCGCTAAATAGGGGTAAATCTGTATAGATTTTAACAAAGAAAAAAATCCCCCCAAACTTACTATGAATGAAAGACACAAAATAATGAATGTCGTATCAATTTCATAAAACAATGCAAACAAAATAAAGCTCTAGGACAACGGGGGTAGGGTGGGGGGGTGGAGCATACTAATAATTACCCGGAGGAGGGAAAGACACTGTTTTTATTTTATTGTTTGGCTTGGGGAGGTCACACTATGTGGTGGTCTGGGCCCAAGTCCTGGCTCTGCTGGGGGTCACTGGTGGAAGGGCTCAGGAAACATGAACGCTAGGGATGGAGCAGGTAGCCCTATCCCACTGTACTATCTCTCTGGCTTCTCTAGTCTATGTATTCAATGTTAAATAAAGAAATACATCTATAGTTAAAAATTCAAATTTTATTATGCCTACGTATTATTTTATTTCAAGCAAAGTGTATCTTATGTTAAGATATTCTTCCTATAATAGTCAGCATTTCATATAAGATATTCATATACCAAAATTTGTTTGCCTTGAGAAAAATTTTATAAAGATACCACACCAAAAAAATGGAATGTAACCTATTGTTTAAAAATATTTAGTCTGAATTAAATTTAGACTTACACTTTAAAAAATATTTTTACATATACACAAAATATCAAAAACATATTGTAAGTGATTATGAGAGCAGCAGGGGTGGAGGGTTGGGCCACACCCAGCACTGTTAATGCTGGCTCTGTGCTCAGGAATTACTCCTGGTCGGTTCCCAGGGGATCAGATGGCATGTCTGAGACAGACTCCAGGACAGCAGAAGGCAAGGTTCAACCAGCTGTTCTATCACTCCAGCTTCAAATGACAGACTTTCTAAAGAAAACTTCTGAATAAAAATCCCAATCATTCCTTAAGAATAAATCTCACTTTGCGGGACATTAACAATTTAGATTTATTATCCACCACTTCAGACTTCTTCATCAAGATCATGAACGATCGGTTTGAGGCTCTTCGTATTCCTAGAGCGAACAGACGCCATTGGGCTACACTAGCACGCGACAGGGACAAATGGAGACGTTACTGGAGCCCGCTCGAGCAAATCGCCGATTAACGGGAAGTCAAGTGATCAAGTGACTTGATCAAGTGATCAAGTGATCCACCACTTACTAAAATAAAGATTGCTCAACATGCCGGCACGGCTAAGAGTGTCTTTCAAAGCAAAGTGGTCAAACGATAACTTTTTACTTGCTTCAAATCACTTTCCAGGTCCTTGATTTTACAAATTATCATCTGTAAATGTTATTTTCGGATAATGCAGAAATCTTACTTCTGAACTGGGATAGGGCTGAGGCTGGGTGAGGTAAGCAAGCCTTCCACTAATTTATGTGTTAAATCTTGAGGGAGTTCAGTGGTTTGTTTTATGTGGTAAAGTTTACCACATCTCCTATGTGTCGTTGCTTTTTGTTAGTTTCGTCTTTTACATACTATTGCTTTTTTATTCGAAGACAAATAACTATGTTAATTGTTAAATAAAAAGATGACTATCCCATTTCCAAGTGTTAGTTAAGCATTCTATAATAAATGATGCTGACATTGTTTTCTACTGTCAGGCTTGGGGACCATATGGGATGCTGGGGGATCGAAGTCAGGTTGGCGAAGTTCCTTCCCACTGTACTATCCCTCCAGTCCCTGAGAAATGCTTTAAATAATTCTCATGGATGATTTTACTTACTATCCTTAACAACCCAAAGAAATAGTAGTATTATTCCTATTTTACATATGAGATAACTGAGAAATATAGAGATTAAGTAGCTTGTCACTAAGTACTGGAACCAAAATTAAAAATCACAAAAGTCAATCTTCAGCTTTTACTCTTAATTCGGCTTTCATGACACAATACATGCAAAAAAGGAGACAGTGTAATAGAGCAGAAAACAACAACAAAAAATTGCATTAAAAATATTAAAGATACATAAATTCAATACATCTGTAAAAATTCAGCCGGGAGTAAGTTACCCTGCATATGTCCGCTGGTACAGAGACTCGGGATCCAGACTTGCAGCATCCACAATTATCGCTTCATCAAAATTTTTCAGAATTTTAACACTGGCTTTCTTCATACTGGACTACAAAAGAAATTGTAAAATTAATTACTATTACTCTGGGAGTGAAGAGCACCTGCAGGCACGTGTACGAGTTATGATCCCCTGAGCACCAGCAGGGGCCTTGCAGCCCAAGCAGTGTTGAGCCCAGTACTGCTGGGAGCGGCTGGGCCCTCCCGAGCTCTGCTCCGGGACCCTCCAAGTCAGCAGGGTATCAATCAGGAATACCATTTCCAAGGTTTAGAATAGAGAGAATGTTCACCCCAGCCCCAAACACTACCAAGATACTGAAAAAGGATGATTCTATTATGTAGTCTCAAAATAAGCATGTTAGAATTGCCATTTCTATAGCAAACAAAGCAATGGGTTCACCTAGAAATTTATAAAATTGAACCACAGAGTCCAATTTATGCAAAATGACACATTCACACATGCACATACAAATAAGATTATTCACTGCAGCATTGTTTAAAATGATCTCATTTAAATGAGCATAATGTCTCTGATTAACAGTTAAATTAATATCTTTATACTGACTAGACTTGGTAGGGAGGGGCAAACAGGCACAAAACTGGGGCAGAAGAATGAGAGGGAACACTGAAATAAATAAGAGGGAATACTTTATGGAAAAATTTTAAATTAAATACTAATAAACCAAAACCAATCAACTTGTATTTTAGAAATACAAGGTTGGTTTCATGTCTAATAATCAATGTAGTACATTATATCAACAAAGTAAAAACCAAAACGCTAAACAACTCAACTAATACAAAAAGTGTATTTGAAAAAAATTAAACAATATATCATGCTAAAAGTTAACAGAAAGAGTAGAGAACTTCTTCAACCTGGAAAAGAAGCATTATAAAAAAAGCTACACCTAAAATCATACTAAACAATTTTTAAAAAAGAGGAATATATCCCCTACGAGACCAGAAAAGGCAAAGAAGTTAGTTTTTATCACTTCTATTCAACTTTGTTTTGGCAGTTCTAGCTTGAGCAATTAGGCAAGAAAAAAAAGAAACGGGCATCCAGAGTAGAAAAGAAACAAATATGCAGATGACATGATTTTATATGAAGAAAATCCTAAAAAATACACAAGAAAACTACAAGAACAAATGTATTTAATAGGAACCACCTCCAGCACCATGTAAGCTCATCTACTAGCCATGCTCCAGAGGCTCATAAATAAATAAATAAGAGGTCATCAAGTTGCAGATTGTTCCAGAAACCCATGCATGGCTGAGAAGTTGGGAATACCTCGGAGGGCGCTGGGCACTAGGCTGGCCGAACAGAGTCCTGGCAGCTGCTCCCTCCCACATTCCAAACTGGCCACGTCTTCCAGCCAGACTCCAATGTCTCAGGACCCAGCCTCATCCAAAAACTATTCTGAAAAGTTCAAGCATGCCTGTTTGTGACTGAAATCTCCAGGATCTCATGGAGTCTGGACGGGCTACCTACCTCCATTTCCGGAAGCCCTGGCAGTTGTGCACACACCCCAAAGCTGCCACCCAGTTAAAGAAAAATGTAACTCCAATTGTACCACCCAGTTAAAAATTCAGGACTTCCTGGAGTTTGTGACTGCATTTGCAACTGCACAATATCTAAGGAAACATTGTTGACCATTCTTTTAACAAATTACTGAGAATTAGCAGTATAAAATAAATTACTGAGGGCCTGCTATAAGAGGAGGCTTAAGGGGTGTTTGGGAAAATTGGAGACAATAGTAGAGAGAAGGTACAGTAGTGGTGGGGGTGGGGTTGGAATACTGAATGCCTGTCACAAATCATCAGGAACAACTTTATAAACCATGGTGTTTATAAAAAGGGCACAGAAAAAATTAACATATGCAGGCCTTACCTATTCCATGTAAACTCCAAAATATATTAAGAGAGAACTGTTTTTCTTTTCTTTTTTTTTCATTTTTATTAGTGAAACACCATGAGGTACAGTTGTAGACTTACAAATTTTTGTACTTAGGTTTCAATTATACAGTGATCAAGTACCCATCCATCCACCAGTGCCCACTTCCCACCACCACAAATCCCAGTATCCCTTCCACTCCCCATCCCCCCCCCCGCCTCTGTGGCAGGGCATTCCCTTGTGTTCTAAGAGAGAATTGTTTTAAAAGCTTTATGAAGGACAGATGAGACAAGATTATTACCACAATAAGATACAAGCATAAAACAGAATTTAATGTAATACTTTAGATTTCATAGTTTTAAATGTATAGCACAGCGGTAGGGCGTTTGCCTTGCACACAGCCAACATGACTGACCCGAGTTCGATTCCTCCGCCCGTCTCGGAGAGCCCGGCAAGCTACCCGTGATGTATTCGATATGCCAAACACAGTAACAACAAAGTCTCCAATGGAGACGTTACTGGGCCCGCTCGAGCAAATCGATGATCAACGGGAGGGCCTTTACCTTTACCTTTTAATGTATATGTAAATGAGAATAGGCATTTTACTATATTGTATTCAATGGTTTTAATTTTCTTTATATGGGTCAAAATCATATAGTAATCACTAATTGGATTTTACTGATTTCTATTTGCCAGTTCTTAAAAAGTGTTGTTGGAATAAGCAATATCCAAGTAAATTTGTTATGTGCCAAATGGGACAGGATGAGACTGGGAGGGAAACTGGGAATAATGGTTGAGGGAAGGTCACACTGGTGGTGTTGGAACACTAAATGCTTGAGACAAGTATATAATGAACAACTTTGCAAATCACGGTGTTTTTAATCAATGAATCAGAAAGTATAATTTTTATTTTTTAAATTTTATTAAATCACTGTGAGAGTGTTACAAGTTTTCATTTTTGGGTTACAATCACATAATGATCCCTCCACCAGTGCACATTGCCCACCACCAATATCCCCGGTACACCCCCCTTTTCCCAATCTCCCTGCCTCCATGGCAGACAATATTCCCCAAACTCTCTCTACTTTTGGGCATTATGGTTTGCAATACAGACACTGAGAGGATATCATGTTTGGTCCTTGATCTACTTTCAGCACATATCTCCCATCCCGACAAGTTCCTCTAGCCATCATTTTAATGATCCCTTCTCTATTCTAGCTGCCTTCTCCGCTTTGCTCATGAGGCAGGATTCCAGCTAGAGAGCAATCCTCCTGTCCCGTGTATCTACTATCCTTAGGTGTCAGCCTCATGTTATGTTGTTTTATACTCCACAAATGAGTGCAGTCCCTCTATGTCTGTTCCTCTCTTTGACTCATTTCACTTAGCATGCAAAAGTATCATTTTTAAATGGTTCTATACAGTATCAAAAAAAGGGGCACAACCCCAAACCTTAGGCTCAGTAGTAGAGTATGAGATACTTAGAAATAAGTAGATTATACAATACTGGAAGAATTAGGAGAGTTTGGTTCCAAACACACTTGCTCCAAGGAAGTTTGAAACTGGTTCAGATTTCGTTGGACAGCAATGTTTCATATGTAAAAATTGATGTTTTATCTATCTTTAGCTATTCTAGTCCTAAATTCCCAATTTAGTAAAGTCCCTGATTTAATGAAAGCTTATTTTGGGCTAGTGTGATAGTATAGCGGGGAGGGCATTTGCCTTGCACATGGCTGACATGGTTCGATCCCGGTATCCCATATGGTCCCCCAAGAATGCCAGGAGTAAATCCTGAGTGCAGAGCCAGGAGTAACCCCTGAGCATCAGTGTAACCCAAAAAAAGCATAAATAAATAAATAAATAAATAAATACAAACACACTGTCCTTCCATTGTTCATTGATTTGCTCGAGCGGGCCCAGTAACATCTCCACTTTTTTGAGACTTGTTGTTACTGTTTTTGGCACATTGAATACGTCACAGGTAGCTTGCCAGGCTTTGCCATGCGGGCAAGATACTCTCAGTAGCTTGCCGGGCTCTCTGAGAGGGGCAGAGGAATCGAACCCGGCTTGGTCAGGCTGGCTGCACGCAAGGCAAATGCACTACCACTGTGCTATCGCTCCAGCCCAAATAAATAAATAAAATAAAAGAGGCTTATTTTTATGCTTGTTTATTCATTAAGATTATGGTTTAGGGCTGGAGCAATAGCACAGTGGGTAGGGAGTTTGCCTTGCACAAGGCTAACCCGGGTTCGATTCCCAGCATCCCATATGGTCCCCTGAGCACCGCCAGGGGTAATTCCTGAGCGCAGAGCCAGGAGGAACCCCTGTGCATTGCCAGGTGTGACCCAAAAAGGAAAAAAAAAAAAAAGATTATGGTTTATAAATTTAATGTTAACTACTAGATAGTTCATGTTGTACATTTAAATTTTATTTTTGAAGCTATATAGTAGACCCAGGTATTTGTCTTCAGTAACAATAACTTCGTTATCGGACTTGGGGGGCCCCCCACGAGCGGCGCCGGGGAAGTGGGCTGGAGCGATAGCACAGCAGGTAGGGCGTTCGCCTTACACGCGGCCAACATGGCCGACCCGAGTTCGATTCCTCTGCCCCTCTCGGAGAGCCCGGCAAGCTACCGAGAGTATTCGATATGCCAGACACAGTAACAACAAAGTCTCCAATGGAGACGTTACTGGGCCCGCTCGAGCAAATCGACGATCAACGGGAGGGCCTTTACCTTTACCTTTAACAATAACTTAATCAATTTCATATAAGCCTCTAATGACTTATAAGTATTTTAAATAAACATAAAAAGAAATTTAAGTGGCTGGAGCGATAGCACAGCGGGTAGGGCGTTTGCCTTACAGGTGGCCGACCTGGGTTCGATTCCCAGCATCCCATATGGTCCCCTGAGCACCACCAGGGGTAATTCCTGAGCACAGAGCCAGGAGTGACCCCTGTGCATTGCCGGGTGTGACCCAAAAAGCAAAAAAAAAAAAAAAATTTAAAAAGTGGATCAAGGAAGTTTAAATCAGTATAATGCAGAAAACAAAGTCTTGTTTAAAGTAATGAAAGATAGCCTAATTAAATGGAATGACATTCCATGTTCACAAGCAGGAAAACATAACTATATTAAGAAGGCAACCCCAAGCCCCAGTCCCTGCAAATCAATGTGGTCTAGACCAAGATGGAAAAGTTAAGACTTACTAAAATTCTTATGAAACTGCAAGGGAACCAGACTATCAAAGGAATCTTGCAGGGAGGACTAGAGGGAGCCTCTATACTTGCCTATATACTTAGTACAAAAAACCATGATAACAAATACTGGGAAACTTAGTTCCGAGTTGTTGGGGTCCTGTCAGAGGCACAATAGCAATTTTGGGGTATAAGGAAGTTGAAGTGCATCAATCTGCTGATGCTCTCGCCCCGCGGGTCCAATCTGGTTTGATCCCCAGCAATCTACAGGGTCCCTCAAGCCTGCCAGGAGTGACTTAAACACAGAGTTAGGAGTAAGACCTGATCACACCTTGGGGATGCTCCCAAACTAAAAAAGACTGTGATGCTCCTCAAATTTATCTATGCGGTAAACATAATACTAGTTCACTGTAGAAAGTGAATAGCTAGATTGATCTTACTGGTTTGGGAGTCATGCTCACTGATGTTTGAATACTGCTCCTGGTTCGTATGTGGACCATGGATCAAATCCAGAGTTCCAGTACGAAAAGTATTCCCATCCTTTAATCCTTTCCCCAGCCCCACAAGCTGATTTAAATATATATGGAGGGCTAGAAATAGTACAGTGGGTAAGGAGCTTGCTTTACACATGGCTGACCCAGGTTCCATTCCTGGCCTCCCATATGGTCCCTGGAGTCTGCCAGAAGTGATCCCTGAATGCAGAGCCAGGAGTAAGCTCTGTGGCCCACCTCCATCTGAGAAAATATAAATTAGTAAAATTTACATGGAAACTCAAGGGGACTTGAAGGGTCCAATCAATCTTCAAAAAGAACTAAGACTTTAACTTTCAGAGTTCAACAGAGTTATCATTTGGCCAACAACTCTACTGAGCATAAACACACCACAAAAAAATTTTACACAAAAACTTGTACATGCATGTTATATATTATAGGAATAAAATTTTTAAAAAGCAGAAATAACTCAAACGTACATCAACTGATGCATAAACAAAAAAAGTTTGTACCATGGAATATGGGCTGGAGCGATAGCACAGAGGGTAGGGCACCTGCCTTGCATGTGGCCAACCCGGGTTTGATTCCTCTGTCCCTCTCGGAGAGCCTGGCAAGTTCCCTGTGGGATATTTGACATGCCAAAAACAGTAACAAGTCTCACAATGAAGATGTTACCGGTGTCCGCTTGAGCAAATCAATGAACAACAGGAGGACAGCGTTACAATGCTACCATGGAATATTTTTATATCATTTTAGGAATAATATGTTATTCCTTAAAAGGAATAAAATTCTAATATATGTTAAATGTGCAAGAACCTTAAAAACCTTATGGTGAGAGAGGCTGGCTTCAATAAACCACGGATGGTTTTATTTATGTATTCATTCGTGAACTTTTTTTTTTTTGGTCACACCCAGCAATGCTCAGAGGTTACTCTTGGCTCTGCACTCAGGAATTATTCCTGGCGGTGCTTGGGGGACCATATGGGATGTTGGGAATCGAACCTGGGTTAGTCGCGTGCAAAGCAAATGCCCTACTGGCTGTTGTATTGCTCCAGCCCGTTAGATCATTTTTGGTTTTAGAGTAACACCTAAGCTGAGCTAGTAACACCTAGCTAAGCTCTCAGCTCTTTGCTTGGGGGTCACTCCTGGTGGTGCCAGAGAACAAACCTGGAGCTCATGCATGAACTCAGTCCACTGAACTAACTCTTCAGTCCCATAGAGTTCTACTTAAAGAAAACACCCCAAATAGAAAAACAGAACCTGCAAGAAGACGAGAAGAATCAAAGACATACAGGGAGACAGCTAAAAATACATCAGGATTCTCTTTTGGGTAGGAAAAGAATTGTAAAACTGACCTAGATGATGACTAAAAAACTTTGTAAATATACTAAAAACAGCCGACTACAAATTGAGGGGGTAACTGATGGCTTCCAACACCTGACTTGAAAGTGGAAGGCAAAGTGTGAATCCCTCGCCTGTGACATACATGTGCTGAGCAGGATCCCCAGAGCTCTGCTCTTTGCTCTGATGTCTGTGACCCTGGTGCAAGGGTCTTCTGGCTGTAACACAATGAGATGTGGGCAAACACCATAGCTAAGAAGTACATCCCTTGATAATCAGCACCACAACTGAAAAAAGATGGGCAAGGGTCAACAAAGTAGCTCAATGGCACAGCATTTGCCTTGCATGTGTGAGACCTGAGACTTGATCCCAGGCACTGCAAAACAAAACAGAAGACCAAGAATCACAGCACTTCGACAAATACTATGGCCATAACGTGCATATAAGCACAATTAAAGGAGTGCAAGCCCAGGCAAACATCTGTGTATGCAATGTGACTAACAAAGTGCGACTCCAATGCACACGACAGCCATGTGTGCTACAACATGATGTGTAACCCCGCAGGTGGAACTCTTGGTTGCTTCAACGTCAATTAAGGGAAGGGGGAAAAGCCATGATCAATCAAAAGAACAAAAAATAAACACCAAAGAGTACAATGTAAACTGGCAAACTGCATGGCTTATTGAACTACATCTTGATTTTTAAAAATGATAAGAACAGGGACCAGGTAGCTACCTCAAAAGGCTGCTGTATGTGCTCTGCATGCTGGGCACAGCTGTGATCTCTGATAACGCATGCTCCCCCGGGCACCATGCGGAAACATCCCTGAGCATTATGCCAAAAGTAACCCTGAAGCACTGTGGGTGTGCCCCCCCCAAAACGGCAAGTACAGGAACACCAATTTATGCACGCCTGTGTGTGTATGTGTGCTTGTGTGTTGTGCTGGGTATCGAAACCTGGGCCTCACACTTGCAAAGCAGATACTCCTCCACTGAGCCAGATCCCGGGCCCCTGTCCAAGCCATCTATACTCAAGAGTACTACTAGCTACCTTGACGAGGAGATGACAAGAGAGAGAGGAACCAGAAGCATTCCCTGGAATGAGAGATGTTGTTAATATTCTGATTTTTGATCTGAAACCAGTCAGGTACAGATTTACAAAAATTCTTTAAGTTGTGACCAACTACGATATGTAATTTTTGTCAACCAAAGTGTAAAAATGTATTTTATGCTCAACATTTAGGCCCTTTGAAATGCTTACATGCAAACAATACGTTCTAACCTATATATAGAAAATAGCAACCATATTCCGCAGGTCATATGCTGTGAAACTTGATTAGTAGAGATACCGAGAAGAGCGGGAAGAGAGAGACAGCAGAGCAGGCAAGGCATTTGTCTCACACCCAGGCTGATCCCCCGCATCCCTGATGGTCCCCTGAGCACCACCAGGAGTAATTACTGAGGGCAGAGTCAGGTGTAGCCCTGGATATTGCTGAGTGTGACTAAAAAATGGAACAGTAATAAAAAGATACCAAGGAGAATCTTATTGATGGCAATAAAAAATATTGTCTTACATAACAATAATCACAAAATGATATTTATGATTTTCTGATAATCCCATTTGCCATTTTGTTAAAACAAGAATACAAAGTAAATTTGTGTCTTTTAAGAGGCAGGCTTATGGGGGAAGGCATGTGGGTGGGAAACTGGGGATGGTGGTGACGGGACGGTCACGGTGGGGTTGGTGTTGGAACAATGAGTGCGTAAGACAACTGTATCACTGTCATCCCGTTATTCATCAATTTGCTTGATCGGGCACCAATAACATCTGCATTTGTACTAGCCCTGAGATTTTAGCAGCCTCTCCTTACTCGTCCTTCCCAGTGCTGCATTGGAGGCTATTTCAGGGTCAGGGGAATGAGACACGTCATTGTTACTGTTTTTGGCATATCAAATATGCCCCAGGAGCTTGCCAGGCTCTGCGTGCGGACAGGATACTCCTGGTAGCTTGTTGGGCTCTCCAAGAAGGAGAATGAAAAAAAAATGGTAAATAATGATTTGTTAAAAGAGAGAAAAAAAATACTGTCATATAAACTAAGAGGAGGTATCCAATGCCTAGTGTCAAGAAATCCAAAGCGTTATCTGTAAATAGTGAAGTGACAAAAAAATTATGATGTTCTAGTATTACATTTTTATGGTACAAAACATTACATGGAAATACAGTTCTGGCCCTCCTATTTCTAAAACTTAAAAGGGCTTTTTTGCTGGTACTGGAAGGGCTAATACTGGAAGGGCTTTCATCCTGGAGGTGGGCTGAAGCGATAGCACAGCAGGTAGGTCATTTGCCTTGCACACAGCCAACATAGCCAACCTGGGTTCGATTCCTCCGCCCCTCTCGGAGAGCCCGGCAAGCTACCGAGAGAATCTCACCCGCACGGCAAAGCCTGGCAAGCTACCCGTGATGTATTCGATATGCCAAACACAGTAACAACTGTCACAATGGAGATGTTACTGGACCCGCTCGAGCAAGTCGATGAAAAACGGGACAGTGACAGTGACAGTGATCCTGGAGGTAGAGGCAGATCGGTCAGTACCTGAGATGAGCTGTCAGAACCACTAGAATGGACATTATCGTGAGGGCCCACAAGGCCATGGGCAGTCATGGACACATTTCCTCCCAGAAATTCATCTCCTCGGACAGAATGAATGAGATCATTCAAGTATTTATAATAAAGGTTGCTGGACAAAAAGCCAGGTAAGAAGACCTGAAAGAGAAGACAAGTACAATCACAAAGTTGAAATAAATACAACTGAAATGATTTTAAAACAAAATTTTATCAATATTTCTACCAGTTAACGAAGCAGTTCTCACTTGTGCTTGTTAAACTTTAAACTTCATGCACATACAGATTTTTGTTTGTCTAGAGGCCACAGCCTGTGGTGCTCAGGACTTATTACTGACAGTGTTCAGTGATCACTCCTGCCTGGCTCGAGGTGCCAGGGTTACAATTCAGGTCAGCAGTATGCAAGGCAAGTGCCCTACCCATGTTCTGTTACTCCGGCTCAGGCAATTCGATTTCTAATGACCAACAAACAGTTCAGGGAATGAACAAAATTTGAAACTGTATTTTTCTTGGGCTGGAGCGATAGCACAGCGGGTAGGGCATTTACCTTGCAAGCAGCCAACATGGTCGACCTGAGTTCGATTTCTCCGCCCCTCTTGGAGAGCCCGGCAAGCTACCGAGAGTATCTTGCCCGCACGGCAAAGCTTGGCAAGCTACCCGTGACATATTTGATATGCCAAACACAGTAACAATTGTCAAAATGGAGACGTTACTGGGTCTGCTCGAGCAAATCAATGAACAACAGGAGGACAGTGACAGTGACAGTATTTTTCTTGTTCTTCTTAACTAATAAGGTCTCTAAGATATAATTGGTTTTCACTTTTGAACTGATTACCTCGGTTCAATCTCCAGTACCCTGAGCTCCGCCATGAGTAATTCCTGAGTACAGAGTCAGAAGTAAGCCCTGAGCACCATCAGTGTAGCTTAAAAACAAAAGAAAACACCCCAAAACCGAAACACTATTTTTACTTAAAAAAAAAAAAAGATTGGGCATGACAGATAGCACAAGGGCAAGGCATTTGCCTTGTATGCAGCCAGCTCATCTGATGACTAGCACCAAGTATAGCTCCCAACCATGATCAGGAGTGAACCCCGGACACAGAAGCACTAAGCACCGCAATACGTGACTCAGAAACAAAATATAATTATTATTGATGCTAAGTAAGTTTCCACGATGATTATTATTAGCACAGAATACGCAATATTAGTGAACAAATTATCCATGTCTTCTCCATTATATAAATGATAAAGTTAAGCATTAATTAACCTAAGTTCTTTAGGTGCATGCCTGTAATAAAGAATACTTTTACACTTTGTTTCTCTGCATTTATTTCATTACTATGGAAAGTTTACATTCTCTCTAAGATACAGATCTAGAACTTCTGCTTTAAAACTAGGAAGATTTTAATTATGCAAAAACTGATGCCTCTAGGCAGGAGCTGTCACTCCAACTTTACAATGATTTATACAATTATAAAACTGAAATATACACACACATATAGGAACTGAATTCCTAGAATTCTATATAATGTTGTTTACTTAATCTTTTCACCTGAATATGTATGACATATATAAGCAATATAATTTCTTGGCCTTATACTAGGTGTTCTGTAATTACTGAACGTGTAGAAAATATGAATAGGTCCATTAGAATAGGCTGTTCAAAAATTTCTGTATTTTATCATTTATATTAGTGACACTTTATGAATTATCATGATCACTGTATCACTGTCATCCCGCTGTTCATCAATTTACTCAAGCAGGCGCCAGTAACGTCTCCATTCGTCCCAGCCCTGAGATTTTAGCAGTCTTTCCTTACTCATCCTTTGGAACGCTGCCATACTGGAGGCTCTTTCAAGGTCAGGGGAATGAGACCCGTTATTGTTACTGTTTTTGGCATATCGAATGGGCCACAGGTAACTCGCCAGGCTCAGCCATAATTAATTTATGAATTATCATGATAGATGAAACTAATGTTTCAACATACTGGTGAACTGCTTGGATAATTCCTGTTAATTTTCCTCAATAGTGCTATGTATTACTATCAAAAGTAATAATAATCAATATTTTAATAATTTATTTTGTTTTGAGGCCACACCTAACAGTGCTCAAGAATCAAACCGGGGTCGGCTGTATACAAGGCAAGTGCCCTACCCACTATACTATCACTCTAGTCCCAATAGTCAATATTTTAAAATGCTAGCTACATATAGGCTACTACATTAAAAAGCACTTCATAACATCTTATACCGTTATCCTCAAAACATCAAGGAGAGAGGCATGAGAGATAGAACAGTGGGTAGGGCATTTACCTTACAAGAGGCTGACCTGGGTTTGATCTCTGGCATCCTTTAAGGTGCCCCAAGCATTGCCAGAAATAATTCCTGGTTGTAGAGCCAAAAGTCACCCCTGAGTACAACCAGGTGTGGCCCCAAAACAAAGCAAACAAAACAATTTCAAGGAGCCAGGGAGGCATTATAGGGAAAGGCACTTGCCTTTAAATGTCCAACTTTGGTTTGATCTCCAGTACCACATATGGTCCCCTGAACACTGCTAGGAATGATCAGTGAGCAGTCAGAAGGAAGCCCTGAGCACTGCAGGGTGTAGTCCAAAACACACACACACACACACACACACACACACACACACAATTTTAAATACAGTGAGCATAGAGTCAGGAGCAAGCCCTGAGCACTGCAGGGTATAGTCCAACACACACACACACACACACACACACACACACACACACAATTTTAAATACCCAGATAAGAAAAACAGCATTAAAAAAATTTCTGTAACTTTCTGAGCTTACTTAGCCTATAAAGATTAAGGTTGATACATACCAAGCCAGACTCAAAAAGCCTTTACTCATCCCCACATCTTGCCTATTTGCGGTGCCACAGATCGAACCAAAAGCTCACATCTGTAGGCGAATGCTCTACTGCTAACTACATTCTTGATCTACAAAGCCTTTTAACTATAATCACTACACAGCACTGCTTCAATTTCCAACTGTTCTACTACACTTAAGTTTCCCCCAGTTATGTTTACTGAGGTCCACCAAAAAAGTTTCTTGTAGAGCTAGAGTGATACTAGAACGGGTAGGATGCTTACCTTGCATGCTGCCAACCCAGATTCAATCTCCGGCATCTCATGGGGTTCCCTGAGTTCTGCCAGGAATAATTTCTGAGTGCGGAGCTTAGAATAACCCGAGCATCACCAGTATGGCCCCCCGCACAAAAAGGCTTCTTGTAGTTAACATTTTGAAGTTCTAAATTACCTTTTCCATGGTTGTCCAAGCCTGACGTAAAGGAGTTGTAAAACAGTTAGGGAGTGGCCCACCTTCCCTGCAGATGTTGGATTCAATTTCTAACCGAACAACATCATCAAACCCAAGAGGATGTGTGGCTTGGAGGGAGAAGTACCTGTGGTAGAAAGACAGCCAGAGTAAAACCAAATTCCACAGGAAGTGTTACCAATTTCTGGTACTCACTGGTAGCAACCGCAGATCTGTAGCTACCCAGCTGATTACAGCACTACTTGGACAGTTATTTGAGAAAAGCTCCTCATGTCCAATCTCCCTTCCAGCACCCTAGTTCTTACCTCATTTTTGAGGCCAAGCAACTGAGGCACGAAACCAATCACATATTTAATTTATACGTACTCTCTGTTCATGAATTGTGAGAAAGAAAAGGTAGAGTCTAAGATATGACCATCTCTGGAATGACCAGAAAACAGAAAGAACATCTTTACACAGGAGAGATGCACAATGAAATAGCTAGGAGGCATATACATTATACATGAAAAATACAAAAAGAGGGTGTGAAGTAGATCAACTTTAACTCTTTGAATAGAATAGATCTTGTTGATTATACGGTATAGAAAGAAAAATACAATCTACAGTAACTCAAGAGATAGCACAGCCGGTAGGGCGTTCGCCTTACAAGCGGCCAACATGGCCGACCCGAGTTCGATTCCTCCGCCCCTCTCGGAGAGCCCGGCAAGCTACCGAGAGTATCCGATATGCCAGACACAGTAACAACAAAGTCTCCAATGGAGACGTTACTGGGCCCGCTCGAGCAAATCGACGATCAACGAGAGGGCCTTTACCTTTACCTTTATATGATAGAATGTAATTAGTATGGTAAGCAGTAAAATGAATACCAAAAAAAAAAAATCAAAAGCAGAAAAAAACCCTTTCTTTTCTGAGCATGTATCTCCTAACTCCTATCTATGACACAAATACAAAAAGGCTGACAATGCCGAATAGTGATAACATACATGTGATGTATAAAAAGAACTATATCCAATGTAATTGGCATAATGAAATTGGGAAAATAACCAGTTAAAGATACCAGAAAGAGGGCTGGAGCAATAGTACAGTGGGTATAGTACAGTGGGTAGGGTGTTTGCCTTACATGCGGATAACCCAGGTTTAATCCCATATGGTCCCCAAGCACGGCCAGGAATAATTTCTGAGTGCAGGAGTAACCCCTGAGCATCGCTGGGTGTGACCCCAAAAAGCAAAATAAAAAAAAATATGCCAGAAAGTAACTTTAAATGGTTCCCAATGGGGAAATGGAAACGAGTGGAAACAAGCTCGACTCTGTGGTTACTCAAAAGCTAGGACACCTACTAGCCACTATTCTGCTCCAGTTGGAAACATCTATTTTGTTATCAGCATCATTTTTTTTTAACCGTATCTCTCATGGTGATTCAATTTTTAAAAAAATTTTTATTAGTGAAACACCATGAGATACAGTTGTAGACTTGCAAATTGTTGTGCTTGGGTTTCAGTTATACAATGATCATGTACCCATCCCTCCACTAGTGCCCATTCTCCACCACCATGGATCCCAGTATCCCTCCCACTTCCATCCCCCTCATCCCACCCTGACTCTGTGGCAGGACATTCCCTTTTGTTCTCTCTCTCCTTTTGGGTGCTGTGGTTTGCAAAAGAGGAAATTGAGTGGCAATCAAATTCAGTCTATAGTCTACTTTCAGCATGCATCTCCCATCCTGGGAGGATCCTCCCAACACCCTTTATTTGGTGCTCCCTTCTCTATCTGAGCTGCCTTTTCCCCTAGTATGTGCGGCTGGGTTCCAAGCCATGGAGTAAACCTCCTGGTACTTATCTCAGCTATTCTTGGGTGTTGGGCTGGAGCGATAGCACAGCGGGTAGGGCGATCGCCTTACAAGCGGCCAACATGGCCGACCCGAGTTCGATTCCTCCGCCCCTCTCGGAGAGCCCGGCAAGCTACCGAGAGTATTCGATATGCCAGACACAGTAACAACAAAAGTCTCCAATGGAGACGTTACTGGGCCCGCTCGAGCAAATCGACGATCAACGGGAGGGCCTTTACTTTACTTTACTTTTTGGGTGTTAGTCTCCTATTTTGTTACTTTATGTTCCCCAGATGAATGCAATCTTTCTACGTCTGTCCCTCTCTTTCTGACTCATTTCGCTTAGCATGATATTTTCCACGTAGTACCACTTGTATGTAAATTTCATGACTTCATCTTTTCTAACAGCTACATAGTACTCCATTGTGTAAATGTACCAAAATTTCTTTAACCAGTCATCTGTTCTCGGGCACTCAGGTTTTTTTCCAGATTCTGGCTATTGTAAATAGTGCTGCAATGAACAAACAAGTGCAGATGTCACTTTGACTGTACTTTTTTGCCTCTTCGGGATATACTCCCAGGAGTGGTATTGCTGGGTCAAATGGGAGCTCAATTTCTAATTTTTTGAGAATCATCCATACTGTTTTTTCAAAAGGGCTTAACCATTCGACATTCCCACCAGCAATGATGGAGGGTCCCTTTCTCGCCACATCCACGCCAACACCGGTTGCTTTCGTTCTTTTGGATGTGGGCCAGTCTCTGTGGTGTGAAATGATATCTCATTGTTGTTTTGATCAATCAGCATCTTCTTAACAACAACAAAAAATTGGTCTATCCTATGGACTGAACATGATTGCCACTCAATGCCTCTTTTGCAGACCACAACACCCAAAAGGAGAGAGAGAACAAAAAGGAATGCCCTGCCACAGAGTCAGGGTGGGATGGGGGGGATGGAGTGGGAGAGATACTGGGATCCATGGTGGTGGAAAATGGGCACTGGTGGAAGGATGGGTATTTGGTCATTGTATAATCGAAACCCAAGCACAAAAATTTGTAAATCTACAACTGTACCTCATGGTGTTTCACTAATAAAAATTAAAAAAAAAAAAAAAAAGAAAAAAGTGGAAAAAAAATTGGTCTATCACCTTATAAAGAGTAAATGGTAAATAATCCTCCCTGATAAGAATCTGTGGGTATCCCTAACCAAATATAAACCTTTGCCATTTCAGTGCTCATAGAACAATTAATCTTGTTTTGACTGGGGACCATACCAGCAGTGCTCAGGGATCACTTCCCTGGTGGTGCTTGGGGAACTATCTGCTGTACTGGGGATCAAACCTGGCCCAGCCGCATGCAAGGCAAGTGTCCTCCCCACAGCACTATTGCTCTTGTCCCAATTATTCTTATATAACACTTTCTGTGAGTAGTTAAAAATAACACAACACTGAACGAAGGTAAGAGCTGCATTTCAGTCCCAGTCCTGCTACTAATTTGCTCTCTGACCTCCATGGGATTTAGTTTTCTTATTCTGCAGATTAGAAAATTAGACTAGATCTCTTATCTAGCTTTTCATCAAAATCATTTGGAAGATCTTCAAATGTAAAGATTCCTGGGTCACCCTCAGACGTGATGAATCTATCTTTAAAGAGCAAACAACTTTTCGTTAATTATACTTTTGTTTTTGAAGGTGTCACACCTGCCTATGTTCAAGGCTACTCCCAGCATGGTGCTGAGGTATCACCCGCAGGGCTCCTCAGGAGACCATCTGGTTCCCAGGGCCTCATAAATGAAAGGCAAGTGTTCCACCACTGAGCCACACCCCCAGTTCTGGAAATCTATTTTTATACAAGTTTCTAAGTGATTACTGTTCACACAGTTGAACATAAGTCTGCAGACCAATGGCCAGGAACAATGACCTAGGAAGGTGCTTTTAGCTGTTCCAATGTATCCAAGACTATGAAATTTCCCCACTTCTACGTTATTCTCTTAGTACTGCTATGGACTCGAGTATTTTTCTTTAAAGAACAAGAAAACTTAAGTGAAAGGAGGAAACACCTATGTGATGGAGTTAGCCACAACGATCCCTTACTTGAGCAGTTGTTTTCAATTCTATTCACTGTAAGATTCTACCACCCTTTCATTTCCAGTGAAGACTAATAAAAAAAGTTACTTAGTATTTATGTAATTAATTCAGTGATCTGACCAGGCCTATCTGAAGTAGAAAAATGCTACTTCCATATTCTAGACTGATCACTTGACTTCCTGTTATTGATCGATTTGCTCGAGCTGGCGCCAGTAACGTCTCCATTTGTCCCTGTCGCATGCTAGTGTTGCCTAATGGCATCTGTTCGTTCTAGGAACACGAAGAGGCTCAAACCAATTGTTCAGGGTATTGACGAAGTCTGCCCATCTGGTAGGTGGGTGGCCACGCGGTCTTTTGATGTCCCGTGGAATCCAGTCGGTAATGGCTCTAGTCCAGCGGTCGTCTCCAAATCTCATCATGTGTCCAGCGCATCTGATTTTTGATGGCTTGGCAAATGAGACAGCGTCCCTGATTTTTGATTGTTGAAGGAGATTGGAACTCCGGATTCTTTCTCTCATTTGAGTAAAACATGATACTCCAAGCATAGCTCTTTCGATTCCTCTTTGGGAGACCTGAATAGCGTTCTCATCCTGTCTGTGTAGGGCCCAGGTCTCTGAGGCGTATGTTAATGCCAGAACAGTGGATCAAAGAGATGTGCCCGAAGCCAGAGGTTCTTTGTCCTCTTAGTTATTTCTTTGACGCTCCTGAAGGCGTTCCAAGCCGCTCTCTTCCTCCTGCGCAACTCAGGTGCCAGGTCATTTGTCATGTTGACTTCTTGACCTAGGTACACATAACTGTTGCACTTGGAGATGACCGTTCCGTTGAGAGCAAATGGAGCGTCAGGAACAAGGCTGTTTCTCATAAACATTGTCTTCGTGAGATTCAGCTGTAGTCCAACCTTTCCACGCTCACGGTTGAAGTCAGCCAGCATTTGTACTGATTGGCTAATGTTTGGTGTTATTAGAACGATGTCATCAGCAAAGCGGAGATGATGTAGTTGCTGACCATCTATCTTCACCCCTATTCCTTCCCATTCCAGTTGTCGCATGATGTTCTCAAGGGTGGCACTGAAGAGTTTCGGTGAAATGGTATCACCCTGCCGAACCCCTCTCTTGACATCAATGATCATTTCTTTGTAGAATGGTGAGATCCTGGTAGTGAATCCGTAATACAGCTCACGGAGGATCTTGATGTATTGAGTTTGAATGCCCTGATTGGCTAGGGCTTCAACGATCACTTAACAGAACCAAAGGTCTTCTTTAAATCAATGAACGTTAGACAGAGCGGCATCTTGAACTCCCGAGAAACCTCAATGAGCTTGACTATCGTGTGGATATGGTTGATGGTGCTGAATCCTTTGTGGAACCTGGCTTGCTCGCATGGTTGTCCTTCATCTAGTGTTCGGCTTCTATTCAGGATGACTCGAGTGAACAGCTTGTAGATGACAGACAATAGGCAGATTGGGCGATAGATGCCAATGTCGTGGATGTCTCCCTTCTTGTACAGTAGTACAGTCCTGCTGGTTTTCCATTGGGACGGAACCTTGTATTCAGACAGGTAGCGTGTAAAGAGCCGAGCCAGCATATTGATGAGTACTGACGGCAGGTTCTTCAGGTGTTGAGGTCTCTGACCTTGTCTGGGCCGGGTGCTGTTTATTTCTTTACTGACAAAATGGCGTGTCGAATTTTGGAAGGAAGAACGTTGGGAACGACATATCCGTGCTGTGGAATTTGGTATTGGGCAGGTGGACGTGGCTATCGAAGAGATCTGAGTAGAATTCATGGATAATCGTCTCCATTGCCCTTCTGGAAGATGTGATAGATCCATCAGGATTGGAGAGCAGTCATCTTGGTCTTGTAGTTGGCGAAGGACAGGCAGGTGTTACGAATGCTTTGCCCGGCTTCTGCTCCATCTGCCAACACTTTTGCTCTTCTCTCTTTGAGGTCTTCCTTTATCGCATCTCTGCACTGCTTCACGAGCTCAGATGTTTGCTTGCAGTTGCCTGAGGCATGCGCCAAACCACGTTGACGAATAAGCTCAAGAGTTTTCGAAGACAGGGTTTTTTTTTTTTTTTTTTGGCTTTTTGGGTCACACCCTGCGTCACACAGGGGTCACTCCTGGTTCTGCACTCAGGAATTACTCCTGGCGATGCTTAGGGGACAATATGGGATGCGGGGAATCAAACCTGGGTCGGCTGGTTGGAAGGCAAACACCCTACCCGCTGTGCTATTGCTCCAGCCCCAGACAGGTTTTTTTTTTTTTTTTTTTGTGGCTATCTCTCTCTTGGCGGTCCTCGCACAATCATGGAGGTGCTGAACCAGTCGTATTCGTCAATGTTGTCAACAACGGCATCTTCCTGTGTTGCTGCAATAGTGCCTAAGAGCTCCCAGCTGGTGGTGGTTCTGGGAGTTCTTTTCTTAAAACTTTGCAGCCCTTTCTGCCCGCTCTGTGAAGTAGAATTCTGCACGAAGGAGACGGAGGTCTGATCCCATTTGGAATTTTGGGACAACAGCGACATGGGTCAGGCAAAACCATCGATTGAATATGATGTGGTCCATTTCATTGTGGAACCTTCCGCCAGGAGACTACCATGTCCAACGTTTAGATTTGGCCTTCTGGAACTGTGAGTTACCATGGATGGTCTTGGTCGACTTGATGAACTCGACAGTCTCTCGCCTTGTTCGTTACATTCTAGGCCATGGGTCCCGATTTGGAGTTCTTCGGCCGGTCTTCTCGGTCCTATCTTGGCATTAAAATCACCCACAATGATCTTGTAGAAGGTGTGGTCTTCTTTATAGAACTTCTCCACACTGATTATATATATTCTAATTGGTTTCTGCTGCTTCTTATATTCCCCTAATCTCTCAATTACCCAAAACTGAATTTCTTCAAAGTGCTGCCGTCTCCCGGGTTACGATGGCTTTGCCTGTACTGGACCTGTGCCGAGGGTGCTTTCCCTGTTATCTCTGGCTAGGCGCATACAATTTTTTATCGAAGATAAATTCAGAGCTTTCTTCTCAAAAAATTTTCCTGTCCTCCAGCATCACTGTCCAGCTTGCAACTCACATACACATTTCCGCAACAGAAACTTTTGCTCTAAGAGCCCCAAACCTTTACACATATATAAAAAGAATTTTCGGGTTTTGGGGGACAGACCCATAGTTCTTGGAGGCTTCCCTAGTCTTTGGGCTTCAGCGATCAGGAGACCAAGCCATTTTACAACTCATACAAATTTCAGTAGTAGGCAGTGCAGGGTTTTGTTTGTTTTGATTTTGGTTTCTGGGCCGTATACTAGCTCCGCTATCAGGGATCACTTCTGGTGGGGCTCAGGGAACTACATGGGGAGCCAAAGATTGAAACCAGGTTGGCTGCATGCAAGACAAATACCCTACCTGCTGTACTGAGGTTTGAACCCAGGACTCCTGCTTAGAAAGCATGTGCTCATCCAACAGATCTACTTCTGAAGCACGTGAAAAGGACTTTCATGCTGTTCTTGAGAGCTCCATGTCAAACACTTTATGTCACCTTTATGTCATACGTATCAAACACTCAATACACATTTGCTGAGTGATGAAAATATCTTCAATAAAACTCACTTGTCATATAAAATCATGGCATCGTTCTGTGCTTCCTGCCCATCATACTGGCCCTTTTTTGCCGCAAGCTGAGACTGGAAGTTATCTGCTGCCAGCCAGAACTGTAAGATATTCACTGCATCCTCTTTTTCCATGTACTAGAAAGAAAAAACATAAAGAGGAAAATAAGACTATAAGCAGATTTTTCTTATCAAATCTAAATCTACAAGTCCCAATTATTCAAATAAAGTACAAAAGTTAAAGGATACTCTTGTTCATTTAATGCCAGTGAGCAATTTATTTATTTGAGATAGAGAATTTAAAAATATTTTCAGGAAATAAACAACAATTCAAATCAAACCAACAGAAAATCCAAACAAGCAAAAACAGCCATTTTACAACTCATACAAATTTCAGTAGTATTTTCTTGCTGTCAAAAACACACTAACCAGATTAGTTCTTTTATACCTAATCATTTTCATCACTCCATGCAATCATATTAATATGAACAAATGCTAAGAAGTTTGTAACAAACAGGGAGTAGAAAACCCAAATAAATAACAGTATTCTAGCAAAGAGGCAGAAGGTGAACATGTATCTCGGTAACCGCTGTGAGACTGGCACTCTGTCACTACGTTACTTCTCAGCTTAATGATACAGAAGAATTTCATCTGAAGCCAACAACATTATACTAGAATGGCATATCTCAAAGAGATTAATATATATACTCCTTAACTATGGCAAATGCTTACCTAGGCAGCTCTGTCTAGCCAGTTAGCCATTGCTAAAGTGATGATAGTAGGGTAAAAAATTACTACTTTTCTTTATTTCTTTTGCAGTCTGGTCTATAAACATTTGTGCACTAGAACCAATGATCTAATTCTAAGGTTTTTAAAAAGCTTCTAATAATTAAAAACATGTACTCTTATCAGAAGTTAATTAGGTTTTCAGAAAATTATTTTAAATTTATATTGAGTTTCTGTGGTTTCTTTAATCTGTCACTAAAGTACTCTTAAAACTTAAGATACAACTAAATACAAAAAATGTTAAATAGGTTTAGAAACTTCTTTTTTTATGTTCTTTATGTGTGTGTGGGGGGAGGGGACTTCCTGGCTGGGGTCATCAGGGCCACACCCAGACGTGCTTGGGGGAACCATGCATTTCCGGGGGTCAAACCCAGGGCTCTGTGCACACCAGTCAAGCACTCCGGCCCTTTGAGCCATCTTCCCAGCCCTGTCTTTCATGCTGTTTTTTTTTTTTTTTTAAATAAACAGGGCTCCAGCATTTAAAACTTAGATGCTGGAATGCTCTAACAGAGTGTGAAAGGAAATGCAGACTTTACCTCAGAGAAATAAAAGAGGGCTGACTCACAGAAGAGAATGTCAGCCAGGTAAACAGTTCCACTGGTCAGCACTTCAATCTGGTATTTACTGAAATGATGACTTCGCAGAAACTCACTAAAGTGCCTGCACATGGACAAAATGGAACATTTGAAGGAATGACCAAAGAAAGAGCTTAATTGGGAAAAATACACTCAAGCCACTCTGTGCATACTGTATCTTAGAAACTCAGGTTGTACTATTTTCCTTCCCAGGTCTCAGGTCTGATTTCTCTCCCTGTAAAGTAATTTCTCCCAAATAAGTAAGGACATTGTAGCTCTCCTCTAATATCTAACCCACGCTACCTAATATTATAGTAACTAAAAAAACATGTTCTATTTGTCTTTTGACACTGTAACTTCCTTTAAGGCAAGCACTCTAACACTGCCTTGCATAAAGCAACCCTTCATCAAATAATAACTAGGCAGATTTTTTATTTTTAAGGGCATGCAGCAGCAATTAATCTTTAAAAATTTGGAGTTAGTTTTAACAAATCTATGTGAATTTAGCAATAAAGCATCCACTGTGTCAAATATGCACTAATAGGAGCTGGAGCCATAACACAGCAGGAGCTGGAGCCATAGCACAGCAGGTAGGGTGTTCGCCTTGCATGCGGTCGACCCAGCTTTGATTCCCGGCATCCCATATGGTCCCTGGAGCACTGCCAGGAGTAAGTCCTGAGTGCAGATCAGGAGTAACCCCTGTGCATAGCCGAGTGTTAACCCAAAAAGCAAAAAACCAAAAAAACAAAAACAAAAAAAAAAACCCAAAAAAACTATGTACTAATAAACTAAGACAAGCACCTGAAGATATGTGCTATTTAATAAATAAATAACAGTCATACTATAGTCACAATCATCCTCAGGCAATTTCAGAATTAAAGCAAAATTTTTTTCTTTTGTGCTGGGGACTGAACCTTCTATATTCAAAGTACACAACTGCTGTGCCAGACTAAAACAATTTATGATTTAAAAGATAGTAACTTTAAAAATAAAAACTTGATTTTATTACAATTCATGTAATCTCAATTTTAAAGACATTATTAATCAAGAGTCTTAGTGCATGTTATTATGAGAGCTTATAAAGAGTCAAAGTACCTAAATCATCAAAGATACTTTAAGTTCATTTCTCACACCGAACCAAATTTCCAAAAACACAAAATGTAAAGGAGATTAACTTACTCTTGTTCCATTGCACTAAAGACGACAGACTGTGCCAAAACAAAACAATTGGGGTCCACCTGTCCATCTTCCCCACAAATCTTTGCTGTGAAAAAAAAAGGGGGGAATACTTAAACGATTACTAAATTTAAACAAAACACATTTGTGAATCAAAGTAAAAATAACTGCAAGGACCCATACGTAAGAAAGTTTTAAATGGAATTAAAGAAAATACAAACAGCTGATTTTGAAGTAGAAAGGACTTTCTAAGCATAAATGCAAGAAGAAATCAAAACACTAACACCACCGTATATATGTATGCATACACACACTCAGGCACCCTGTCTTTAATCTAATAAACTAATAGAAAATTGTTTCAATAACCTATGCTTGACTGTTGAACAATACCGATGCTTGGGCAAGGGCAAGGAAAACTGATACTAGTATAGGCAGGAACCTAAAGTGGTCTGTTTTCATCTAGGAGCAAGTGAGCAACTTCTAGACTACTTAAAAAATGAACATATCCTTTATAAAATAAAAACCAAACCCTCAACTATTTGTAAGGTTAGAGGGTTGAGGGAAAAAACAACAACAAACAAACACTGGGCTGTTAGTAGCAAGTGTTACTCCAAGCACAGGGAGCTTCCCCTGGATGCGGCCCACAGGGTATGATCCTCCAGAGCATCGCCATGAGTGATAGGTCTTGAGCCCTAAGGCACAACCACCAGATGTGAACCCAAAAGCAAAAAGTAAAAAATAAAAATAAAAGGGGAGAGGGAAGAAAAAGCAAATGCCTAGGGCTTACAGCAAGAAAGGTACTTGCCTTGCATGCGGCTGACCAGCGTTAGGCTGATCAAGGTTCAATCCCAATCCCGGAGTGATCCCTGAGCACCACGAGGTGTGGCCCAAAAGTCAAAAACAAACAAAACTGGCTGTTGATTCTTTTGGACCAGAGAGATAATTCAGCAAGGTAAGGCATTTGCCTTGAATGTCTGATTCCACATATTGTCCCCCAACTAGCCCCGGAGTTATTCCTGGGTGTAGAACAGGAGTAATCCTGAGCGCAGATGGGTATGGCCTCCAAAATGAAAAGAACAAAGTTTCAACCACTCATTGTTTTCTGAGGCTGCTATCTGAAGAGTCACAGCTCTGGGAGAGAGCTTACCAAAGGTGCTGGACATGCAGGCGCACGTATGCAAGTCCACAAGGACTGACCATCAGGCCTGGTCAGCCAAGTGTCCTGAGAGTGGAGCCCAGCCCTCTCAAAAAATGTTAATTGGTTGACATTTAAAATCCTAAAACGCACTGGTGAAGGAACTGGTGTTGGAACACTGTACGCTTGAAATTCAATCGAGAACAACTGTAACTTGTGATTCATGGTGATTCAATTAAAAAATTACAAAATATGTTAAAACTAAGAATTGTCTGAAATGTGCTAAAGTTAAGAATTACCCAAATAAACTACAGCACATTAGTCAAGGGTTTAGCTAGCCACTGTACGTGGTTGGGAAAAATAGTGACTATGATGCACTGTGACTTTAATTCATGATGCTAGCTGGACCTTACTAAAATCGAAGGATCGGACTAGTTTCCTGGTCCATTTACTCTGGTGCTCTGAGACACACACAGCACCATCCTTCAGGGTCTGATAATACCTCATTCTCCTTTTCTCTTTTCTCTTTGCTTCCTACTTCATTATGAAAACAGAACTGGAAACTTCTATTACTTCCCAGCACATCGCCTAACTCACCTGCATCTCTACCTAGGAAGTCTATATTCTCATGCCGCAGAGAAACTCCTCTTGCTCTTATCTGAATAAACTTCTATTTGAGCACTGATCCCATTCCCTTTAACATCCTAAAACCTATTCAATGGCAAATTCCTCTTCCCACATGATCTTTTCTTTCACTACTGCCTCATTTTCACCAACTGTGAAGAATCTGATAGCTATGTACTTTTAGGAACAGATGAGGTATGTGATAACAAAATACCTTAAAACTTAAAAACCACATACAACCCTATCAAAAAATGGGGAGAAGAGAGGAAGAGAAACTTCCACAAAGAAATACAAATGACCAAAAGGCACATGAAAAAATGCTCTACATCACTAGTTACTAGGGAGATTCAAATCAAAACAAAGAGATACCTTCTCATGCCACAGAGACAGGCGCACATCAAAAAGAACAACTAGGGGTTAGAGAGATAGCACAGTGGGTAGGGCATTTGCCTTGCATATGGCCGACCCGGGTTTGATTCCCAGCATCCCATATGGTCCCCTGAGCACCGCCAGGAGTAATTCCTGAGTGAAGAGCCAGGAGTAACCCCTGACCATCACCATGGCCCAAAAGGGGGGGGGCGGGCGGGAAGGAACAACTAGTACATTCTTCAAAAAAGTAAAAATTGAGCTCCCATTTGACCCAGCAATACCAGTTATGGGAATATACTCTGGGTGTCCAAAACACACAGCAGAAACATCATCTGCACTTCGATGTTCAAAGAAGCACTTCGATGTTCATAGCAGCACTATGAATAATCTTTCATTACCTGTACTGCAAATCTTAAGGGGGGAGGAGAGGGGAGGGAGAGAGAGGGAGAGGGAAAGGGAGACGGGGAGGGGGTAGAAGGGGAGAGGGAGGAGTGAGAGAACAAGAGAGCGAGAGAGTACATGCTCCTGGAAATATACCCTTATGGCCCAAAAATACAATGTGGAACAGCCACCTGCATTCCTATGTTCATTGCAACACTATGCACAACAGCCAGAATCTGGAAACAACCCAAGCGCCCAAGAACAGATGACTGAATAAAGAAACATGGTATATCTACAGAATGGAATACTATGCAGCTGTTAGAAAAGATGAAGTTATGAAATTTGCTTATACAAGGATGGACATGGAGAATATGATGAAACTGAGTGCTGAAAGGAGGTAAAGTGATAAAATGACAACTTTTTAGTACCTGTATTAGAGCGCTAGGCAGGGGGGAAGAAGGAGGGAGGCAATGAGGGAGGGGGAAGTGCCTGCCATGGAGGCAAGCAGGAAGGCGAGTAACACTGGTGGGGAATGTGAACTGGTGAAGAAGAGATGGGTGTTGGAATATTATATGACTGAGACTCACCTCTGCACTCCAACTACTCTTAATATTCCACCAACTAAGATTTTGTCCCCCACTGGTTCACTATTCCCAGTGCATTTCAGTTACCCATAAGAATATCAAATCTATTCCATTTCTAGTTTTGTCTTAATAACTTAATAATCAACAATATTTTTTCTAACACCTTGATCACTCACTTTCTCGCAGAAACACATTTTCATTAGATTTTCTTTTTCTTTTTTGGGCCACACCTAGTGGTACTCAGGTAGCCAACTGACGTGCCAGGGACCAAACTTGGATCAGCCACATGCAAAATCATGGCCGCAACCACTGTACTCTCTCTCCAATTCTTTTTTTTTAATTCTCTCCAATTCTTGATTTCTAAAAAAATTTTTCTATACCGTCAATCTTTTCCATCTTATAAACTGCATCTTCCCTCTCCTAGGTATTCCATTTTTTCTTTTGTTTTCCCTACAAGGACCAGTCAAAGCAGTGCAACCCTAATTCAATCTATGGCATTGAATATGATCCCCTGAGCACTGTCAAGGGTCACTCCTGAGCACCACTGGGACAGCGCGAAAAACAACAAAAATGAAAAAACATACTTTTTATTTCTACGACTTCAAGCATTTGTGAAAGCTGGAGGAGGCAGTGGGAACAGGTTTTGGGTCATTCTAATTCACATGATAAGAGTGCTTCGGGTTGGGATGCAGCTCAAGGTTAGCATGTTTGCCTTCCATGTGTGAAAGCCTGGTGTTAGTGTTGTGACCAGCCTGTGGCGGCACTGTTGTCCCTAACCATCTGTCTAGACTGGTGCCAGCAGCTCTCTCCAGCACCAAGTGCTCGACAGCTCTGGCCACTATGCCTCATCACTGTAGCCAGAGGACAAGGACAAGGAAAGCCCTTTTGAAATTCTCCTCACATCTCCCCAAGACCCCCAAATCAGGGCAGGAAAGCACACTGGAGATTTCAAATCCTCTTGGTTCTTTCTGCCTCCCTCAGCAGACCAAGGCACAATGGCAACTGAGTTATTCTCCTCCATCAGTGCTGGCCCAAGCCAGGAAGCAGCAAAAGCAGGTGCAGAGGGCCAGCCTGGAGAGTCCCACTGCTTTGTCACTAGAGCAAATGTTCTAGTCTTCTCCCATCTGTGTATCCATGTGCTCCGGGCTTGGAAAAATAAAAACAAAATTCAAAGTTCAACTTGGGACCCATAATTCTTTTCCATGTCAAGAGTCACTAGCTGGGAAATTTTCCTGTTATCACTAGGCCTGATGGCCAGCACCACAAAACAAAAATTAGATAGAAAACAAAATACACAGATGATATTAAATATTAAACCAAGCACGAGCCAGAAATAAAGCACAGCAGGCAAGGAGCTTGTCTGCATGTGGCTGATGGGGATCTGATCCCTAGCACCCCAAATGGGTCCCATGAGCACCACCAGGGAGTAAGCCCTGAGCATCGCTGGGTGTGGACCAAAACCAAAAAACAAACAAAAAAACCCCAAAAAAACCAGACAGATGGGATGCATAATAGCTAAAGTGGAAGCTTCTTCAAACTATATCTTACTTGAATTTAAAGTGCAGCAATACTAAAATATGCCAATTAAAAAGGATAATTAGGGCAGGAGTCAGAAGACTAAGACTTTTGAGAGAATGAAAACATGACTTAGCTAAAGATATATAAAAGGTTACCAAAGTTTTAAAATAATAGACACTGGGATAAAAAGTTTCTGAGTGTTTGATCATTAAATATTGTAAACTTGATCCTTCAGAAGATTTTTTCCTCTTGTGAAATTACATAATTATGCAAAATTTTGTGAAAGGAAAATTAAAACTGCAGTTACACTTTATTTTCAAATGCTTTATCTGGCTCAAACTCCCTCCTCTCCTTCAATTTGATTATTATTACTACAGACAAAAAGGAATCATTTGCTAACCAATTCCTCAGACAGCCAAATTTTGATACTAGGGCATGCCAGTTGTACTGCTAAAAAAATCTGGGAAATGCAGCAACAAATTCTGACATGAAAATAGAGTATGTTAAAAAAAAATCACAATAACATCTGCAACAAATCTAGATGAAAAATCCCAAGATATTAAGCACTGTAGCACTGTACTCCCACTGTTCATCGATTTGCTCAAGCGGGCACCAGTAACATCTCCATTGTGAGACTTGTTACTGTTTTTGGCATATTGAATACGCCAAGGGAAGCTTGCCAGGCTCTGCCATGCGGGCGCGATACTCTTGGTAGCTTGCTGGGCTCTCCGAGAGGGGCTGAGAAATCAAACCAGGGCTGGCCATGTGCAAGGCAAACGCCCTACCCGTTGTGCTATAGCTCCATATGAAGATATAAATAAGCTGGGAAAAAACCACCAACAGCAATTATGATCTATGTTAGTTGTCTTGTTGGACACAACAAGAAAAAAGTAGAAAACAATCTGGTAATCTGGATGGCATCAGACTAACCCTAAACAGTACCACGTGGGTTGACTGGAAAGCATGGTTGGCCAATTTAAGAACCAGAGCTGAGATTTAACAGGTTTGGCAGTCTCCAAAAAAAGATTGAGCACAAAGTACTTGCAGTAAGAACTGAAAGAGTACAACACAACACTGTGAAGAGTTTGTCAGTAGAATGACACATTTTCACATATTAAAAACAAACAAAAATGAACTCAATTTCTGTAAAAAAAATACAAAACTGAGATAAGATTTGATGGTGGTATATATAATACTTGTTCAATGCATAAGTGAACCAATTTGTGATTGCAGGTGCACCTAAGGAGTTTTTAATGCAATAAAGTAAAACTTTCAATAGTTATTTTTACTGTGATCAACAAAGAAATGTTATTTAAGTGAGTCAGTGTGTGTGTGTGAGTGATACAACTAATTTCCTGGACTGCATCTGCTTACCTTAATTACAATGAAGCACTCTAGGGTTTTTTGGGTGGGGCGGGGGTAGAGGCTACACCCTGCATTGCTCAGGGGTCACTCTTGGGAAGGACTGCATGTGGTGCCAGGGATCAAACCCAGGTCAACCACATGTAAGGCAAGTGCTTATCTGCTGGAACAATCCCTATGGTTTTTCTGTTCTAGCTTGTTGGGCAGTGGAGTGAGGACATAGTAAGAGGTGATCTCAACCCAGAACCTGAAAATCCCTACCACACAGCACCAGGGTTAAGGTGTAGGGGTGAGGGGCTAGAGCTATAGCACAGTGGGTAGCGCATTTGCCTTGCATGCAGCTGACCCAGGTTCGATTCCCAGAGACCCCTGAGCACCACCAGGGGTAATTCCTGAGTGCAGAGCCAGGAGTGACCCAAAAAGAAAAAAAGGTGTAGGGGTGAGGTTTCAATTGGGAGGGGGGGCGGCGGAAGAGAGATGGTTGGGGGCCACACCCAGCAGTACTCAGGGTTCACTCTGAACTCAAAGATCTCTCCCGGTGGGAATTAGAGATCCATATGTGGTGCTGGGGATTGAACTGAGGTCAGCCATATGAAAAGCAAGTGCCATATCCAGAGATTGATTCTGACATGTGTGACTCTGCGACTTTGGATAAATCAATTCTTCTAAGGTTCTATTTTGTCACTTAGAAAATAACGACAGTATTTGTGCCAGAAGATGAAATAAATTTAGCCAGAGAATGTACTCAGAATATGTGGGACACAGCTCAATAAATGTGTGCTACTGCTATTTAGGACAAAAACCTAAGAATTCAGTCTAACATAAAAGGAGATTGTACCATAAAAGGTCTAGGATCAGATACAATAAAGTTAGGTGAAAACAGACTGGGAAGGGATACATGTTTATAAAAAAATCTTTCTCAAAACATGCAGCAGAAATGCCATTTGCACTTCTATGTTCATTGCAGCACTATTCACAATAGTCAGAATCTGGAAATAACCAGGTGTTTAAGAACAGATGACTGGATAAAGAAACGATGATACATCTATACAATGAAGTCATGAAATTTGCGTATAAATGGATAGACATGAGAGTATTATGCTGAGTGAAAGGAGTAAGAAGGAGAGGGACAAAGAATGACCGCACTCATCTGTGGGATGTAAGAAACATAGTATGAGACTGTCACCCAAGGACAGTAGACACGAGAGCCTGGAGGACTGGTCCACTGTTGACAGCTTGCACAGTGGGGAAGAGGGCAGCGAGGATAGAGAAGGAACCACTATCGACACAACAGTTGGAAATGATCCCTCTGGACAAGAACTGAGTGCTGAAAGTGGGCAAAGGGATATACATAACCTTCTGGTACCTGTACTGTAAACCACAATGCCCCAAAAAAGGGGGTGAAAAGTGATAGAGAGAGGGAAGAGGGAGGGAGAGGGAGATGAAGAGTGAGAAAGGAGAGGGAGAGAGAGGGGAAAAGAGGGAGAGGGAGAGAGGAAGAGAGGGAGACAAGGAGAGAGAGGGGGAGGAAGAAAGAGGGAGAAAAAGAGAGAGGGAGAGGGAGAGAAGTGCCTGCCATAGAGGCAGACTAGGGATGAGGGGGTGAAGGGGAGGTTACTGGGTACTCTGGTGTAGAGACGAGTGTTAGAACATTGTATGACAGAACCCCAATCGCGAATGACTTTCTAACTTTGTAACGGAGTATCTCACTGTGATTTTGAAAACAAACACTGTCCTCCCGTTGTTCAAGTGGGCCCAGTAACGTCTTCATTTTTTTGAGACTTGTTGTTACTGTTTTTGGCACATTGAATATGTCACGGGTAGCTTGCCAGGCTTTGCCATGCGGGCAAGATACTCTTGGTAGTTTGCCAGGCTCTCCGAGAGGGGTGGAGGAATCGAACCCGGCTCGGCCGGGCTGGCTACGTGCAAGGCAAACGCCCTCTCGCTGTGAATTTGAAAAAGAAAAAAAAAAATTTTAATGACAAAAAAAATCTCTCTTAGGTACTGGAGCAATAGGTCAGCAACGCAGCACATTTTGCCTTGCATGTGGCTGACGGGGGTCTGATCCCTGGTATCCCAAATGGTTCCCCAAGCACTGCCAGGAATAATTCCAAGTGCAGAGCCAGTAACGATCCCTGAGCACCTCCAGGTGTGATCCAAAAACAACATATTATTTCTTAGTGGATGACCAAGAAATAGGCACTTATTTGGCCAGAGCTTTAAGCACTGCTTACCTATAATATCATTTCTCATTTCTTCAGTAATTGGTATTGGTTTAGCAGCATCTGGAGATATATATTTGGTAAAAGTATTCACTGCATCTTGCTCTATACCTGCAAGGAAAGGAGAAGGCAACTCAAAAATCAAAAACACAACTTCAAACCATTAATGGACTATATTTATGAACAGCAGAGCTCTATTTGCTATATGTGAAAGCAAACATACACACAAAAACATAAAAACACAATTACTTATATAAAGTTTATTACATGTATAATCAAATTAATTCATCATTATAAAACAGGTCTCCATCACAATACTGCACTGTCACTGTTTGGTTTGTGGCACAAAGAAGTCATACGTGAATTTCCCTACCAGCTAACAGGTTAAAAGTAATTATTTATATGTATATGTAAATATAAATAATTTCTCTTTCCATGTATCTTCTCCAAAGTCCCACAATGGAGTATTTGCACAGGAACTGAATAAAGAAAGCTCAAAAATAATTTTATGAATTTACATTTATTTTGGGCTGGAGCAATAGAACAACAAGTAGGGTGTGGGTTGATTCTTCCATCCCTCTCGGAGAGCCCAACAAGCTACCAATAGTATCCCGCCCGCACGGCAGAGCCTGGCAAGCTACCTGTGGAGTATTCGATATACCAAAAAACAATAACAAGTCTCACGATGGAGACGTTTGCTGGTGCCCGCTTGAGCAAATCGATGAACAACGGGAAGGCAGTGCTACAGTGCTACATTTAATTTACAAAATGATTTATTCCTGAATACATTCATTTGACTTTCTACAACCCCAGAAAGTTAAAACAATGAATCTCCACCTTTTTTAGACTCAGGATTCTTTATAACCTCAAGATAATATTTTGACCTCTAAGGAAAGCTTATGAGAATATTCTCTAGAGATAACTAAGTATTTTAAATTAAAAACACCTAGTGATTCCATTACAGTTACTATCCTACTAGAAGTTAGCTTGCTTTTTTGTTTTCCAGGTCATAACCAGTGATGCTCAGGAACTGACCTGGTTGGCTCAGTGGTGGTGGGGATCAAATCCAGGCTCCCTGCATGCAAAGCCTGCACCCCAGCCCACTGCACTCTCTCTCGAACCCAACCTAATTTTTAATACCAGTTATTCTTTATAGAATATTCTTTATAGAATAACTGGTATTAAAAATAGAGTACTTCCCATTTCCCACACATATTAAAATGACATGAACTAAAGAACGTAGATTTAATAAATCTACCTACTCCTCCACAGACATCTTTAAGGAGAGAGCACTGAGTTTCCTGGGAGTATATGACAGTAAATAATAATTACAAGACCAATTTGGTGCAAGAACCCAAATCTGGGCTGAAGAGATAGTACAATGGGTAAGATGCTTGCCTGGCACACAGCCAGCCTCTATTCACTCCTTGGCACCCAATATGGCCCCCTGAGCACTCTCAGATGCTATCGTGAATACAGAGCTATGAGTAATTCCTACAGCCAGATGTGGCACAAAAAAGAAAAGAACTCCAAATTTCCCACCATTGCCTTTGGACCACTTTTACAAATTTAGCAACAGTAAAGTAGTATCTCTCATAATTATTATGATTTTTTTTTTTTTGATCACATGGAACCCTTTGAAAAAGTCTCAGGGACATCCTATAGGGTGGACCATAATTTGAGAAGCCTGGATTGAAATATATTGTTATCCTTACTTTACAGAAAGCTTATGCACAACAATTCAAAATTATTTGCATTAAAGTGTCGGGGAAGAGAAAAGGGTCAAGCAGTAACACTATACAGTTTTATATACAATTGAATGTGTTGCCAGCTTAAGATAGATTTTTATAACCAGTGTTTCCCAAAGCGAGTGATACTGCTTCCAGTGGTTTTGGGCACTAGAATAATTCAGGGGGTTGATAGTTGTTTTCGTTGAAATTGGGGGGCGGGTATTCAGCTGGCTTAAAGAAAGTAGATTTCTGGGGCAGGAAAGACAGTTCAGTAGGTAAGGCACTTGTTTTGCATGTAGCCAGCCCAGTTTGTTACCCCACACCACATATGTTCCCCAAATACGCCAGGAGTACAGAGCCAGCAGTAATCCCTGAGAACAAGAGTGTGAACCCAAAACAAAGAAGGGGAAGGGAGAAAGAGAAGGAGACGGAGGAACAAAAATGAGTACAGAATTAAGTGTACATCTTATATAATAAACACAAGACAACAGCACCAGCAGAAAGGAGAAAAAGAATACCTAAAATAACTAAAAAAATATTGAAATGGAAATAATACACCCCATCAACAATTAGTATTTAATAGATTAAAAAATTAATAAGCAAGACCCCATTACATACTGTTTACAAAAGAGTGGCTTGAGATTTAACGGCACACTGTATAAGTGAAGTTAAGGAACTGAAAAATATTCCATGTAAATAGTAGTCAAAAGAGGAAGCGGGGCATGACTATGTAAATCACAAATAAAGTACACTATGACAGGTTGGAGAGAACACAGTGGCAGGTAGGGGCTTGCTGTGCACGAAACCAACCCCAATTCTATCCACAGCACCACACTTTACCCCCCAAGCCTGTCAGAAGTGATCCCTGAGTATAGAGCAACAAGTAAATTCTGAACACAAGATAGGAGTGACCCAAAAGTAAAAACAAAAATAAATCTAAGAAGAGAGAGGGGAGGAGAGACTGGAAGGGGGAGGGGGGTGGGGGGGGAGAGGTTTTCCTTTAAGATTTAGCTATACTCAGGACTTCATCTGTCTTTGTGCTCAAGTGGTAAGCCAAGACTCAAACCCAGTTGGCTAAAGGCAAGGCAAGAACCTTGCTCATTGTACTATCTCTATAGTACTCTTATTTTTTTTCCCCCAGGGACCTTCCAGTGGCCCTCAGGGGCTCTCCACACCCAACAATATATGGTCTGGCTATGTGAACCTGACAACTTAGTGCTTGAAAGGTTGCAGAATGCTGAAGATTAAACTCTGGACCTCTTCATGCCCTCCAGTCTTCTGAGTTACCTCCCCAACTCCTCACTAACAAAGCAGTTAAATCTTAGCCAAGAAAGCAAAGCAAGGGGGGAGGGAAAGGGAAAGAGGGGTCAGAATAGACTACCTCAGTAGTAGAGCACTCCGCTTGCTTTTTAAAAAAAGAAAATGAAAGGTGATCTAGGGCAGAAATATGGTTCAAAGTAGTAAAACACATTTTTGGCATGTGCAAGACCCTGAATTCAATCACTAACATCTCCTGAAAACCACTAGATAAGATCCTTATCCAAAAGAAAGGGGAAAAAAAGAAAGAAAAAGATACGTAAATTTACCTCTGTTCACAGGTAACATTGTCTTATAGGTGAGATACACACACATATATACGTGTAGAAAATGTAGATAATGTAGAAAACCCTAGACCAAACACTGATACCCACACACCCATCAGAACTCATAAATTAATTTAGCAAGGTTGCAAGATAGAAAACTAAATACTCAGACCTGAATGTCTATATAGTAAACGCAAACTGAGCTGGAGAGTGAGTAGTGGGGAGGGCTTTTGCTTTGCACACGGCTCACCCATGTTCCATCTCCAGCATGCCGTATGCGCGCCCCCCTTCCCCCCGCCAGGAGTGATCACTGAGCATATCACCAGGTGTAGCCCCAAAACAAACCAAAAAAAGATGTTAATACTACCCAAGGTGATCTAGTTCCAAGGCAGTCCCCATTAAAATGTCACAGGTAGCTTTCAAAAACAAAAGCAATCCTCAAGATCTTATAACTAAAGCTATTCTGAGAAAGTAGCACACTATGTAAACACACTGACCAGAGTTAGGGAGACAGAATGCAGGGGCCAGGGACATATGCTTTGCACGACCAGTATCCCCATTCATCCTCAGCAACACATGGCCCCTGAGAACCACCAGGTGTACCACCAGCAGCATAGGGCCTGAGCAGCGAATTCAATCACCCAGCCCAGTGGGGAAAGTGGTTCCCAGGGCCCCGAACACTGCTTGGGAAGCCTCCTCTACTCACAGATATCTAGGCCCAGAAACCATCCTCTTATATATGGTTAACTCTGTTAAAAGAGTGCCAAGATAACACAATGGAGAAACATAACATCTGCAGCAAAGTATGCTGAGAAAAGTGGAGATCCTCAAGCAACTAAAATTATATAGGATCGCAATAATAGGGGCTGAGGATGCAACTCTAGTAGTCGGATACAGGGCTTGGATGGGCAAAGTTCTATATTTGGCCCAGGCCCTGCAGGCCTCTTACCCTCAGCACCATTGGGTGTGGCCACCCAAAACAAGAGAAAGCATTTTATATGCCAAGACCAAACTAAATTTTATGCTTTATAGTTTTGTTTTGTTTTTTTTTGGGGGGCCTTTTGGGTCACACCTGGCAATGCACAGGGGTGACTCCTGGCTTTGCATTCAGGAATTACTCCTGGAGGTGCTCAGGGGACCATATGGGATGCTGGGAATCGAACCTGGGTCGATTTGCCACGTACGAGGCAAATGCCCTACCTGCTGTGCTATCTATTGCTGCAGCCCCTCGTGCCTCATATTTTACCACTAAGCCCATCCCAGTCCCAACAATCTCTCTCTCTCTCTCTCTCTCTCTCTCTCTCTCTCTCTGGAGGGATTTATGGGGCCTGAGGATAATATGGGGTAAGCTAAACCACATCAAATATGGTCCACAAGCACCACCAATGAGCATAGAGCCAGGAGTAAGCCCTGAGCATCTGAGGATGTGACCCCACCACAGTCCCCCAAAATGGAGGACATGCACTTCTATTTCATTCACAAGGTCAAGATAAGGAAGCAACCAATATCTAGTGTGTACAGACACACACACACACACACAGAAATATTGTTCAGCTATTAAAAGAGTAAGAAAATCCTGGGTGAACTTGAAACATACTAAGTGAGATAAGTGAAATAAGTTATAAAACAACAAATATTGTACAATTCCACTTATACATCACATTTAAAGTACTTAAACTCAAAGTAGCAGGAAATAGGATAGGGGTTCGGGGAACTGCTATTAATAAGTATAAACTATCAGTCTGTGAACCAGGGCTTTGATGAAAGTAATCAAGTGAGGACAGAGCAACTGTTTTACCTTTATTCTGAACTAAAATAATCCAGAGATATTCTATTCTTTCAACAGACATTTACTATATAACCACTGTGAGTTAAAACCTAACTGGCTTTGCACAAAATGTCAATCAAAAAGCCTAAAAATCAGAGGCTCGGGTTGTTCCTGGATTTGGGCTTTTCCAACATTAAAAACAGCTACAAGGGGCCTTGATGAAGCACAGTGGAAGGGTAACTGCCTTCTATTCCAGAGGCTGCCCGCTGAACACCCAGCTTTTATTATCCCCTAGGCCACAACAAGTACAACCTCCTGCAATGCAACCAAGTGTGTGATTTAGCTGAGGATGGCAACCAAGGGTGCAACCCCTGGACATTGCAACAGCAAAAGGGGAAAAATAAATAAATAAAATGAAAATTAAAAGGAAAAATTAAGGACTGGAATGGGGCTCAGTGGGAGATGTCTGCCTCATCTATGTGAGATCCTAAGTGTGATTCCCAGCACAATAATAATAATAAAAACAAATCAGCTGCCAAACCCAGATAATACCCTCAAATAAAATTTGAAATCTATTTCATTTCAAAAACGTAAGACAGATTACTTACTTCATTTGGATCCAGAAATTTGGTGTTTGAGACCACAGAGTTCACACACAAAGTATAGAGCAGGGCACTCGACTGGCATGCTGCCAACCTACGTTCGATCCCCAGCATCCCATATGATTCCCCGAGCCCCACCATGAGTGATCCTGGAGCAAAGACAGACCCCACCCCCAATCCCACCCAAACACACACATGCACGCCAGAAAACTCGGTTTTTCGTTTATTTTAGACACTTAAGAAAAAGGACCATTAGAACAGCGGGTAGGGCATTTGACTTGCATGCGGCTGACCAGTGTTCGATCCCAGGCATTCCATATGGTCCCCCAAGCACCGCCAGGTGTAATTCCTGAGTGCAGAGCCAGGAGTAACCCCTGCACATCGCTGGATATGACCAAAAAGGCAAAAGAAAAGAAAAGAAAAGAAAAGAAAAGAAAAGAAAAGAAAAGAGAAAAGAAAAGAAAAGAAAAAGGAAAAGGAAAAGGAAAAGGAAAAGGAGCAGGGAGATAATCTGAAGAGCTGGAGCATCTGCCTGCATGCAGAGGCCTCAGTCCCAAGGCCCAGAATAGCACAGGCTCCCAAGCACCACTGAGGGAACTTGGGTCAAATAGCAATAGGATGAATATAGCCCAAAGTGGTCTCTGGGCCCTGGAACATTGCCTGGGAGACCCCTGCCCAAAATATAATAAAATCACTAACAGAAAAAGAGAAATAAATTGAAAATAATCAGGGAAGAAACATACATAATAGAAAATCTATGACATGAAAAAGATATATATCAACTAATGGAATCCAGGCCAGGGCAACAGCTCAAAAGGCTGCATCTCAGGGTCTGAACCCCAGCACTCCCTGATCCTCCAAGCACTGTGCCAGGTAAAACCCCCAAACAGAAATCAACTCACATCAAATGCTGCTTCTTTGGGGAAAAAACCAGATAAACTCCTATACTAACAAAAAAGACGCAATCATCAAAATTAGGAATGAGAGCCCATCTATATAAAACAAAAATTAAGAAACAGCTTAATTATATGCCCATAAATCTGACAATTCCATGAACCAGCTATTTCTTGAAAGCCATAAAACTGACTTCTGAACAGAGGCTGACAAGACAGTGTAGAAGATACCAGCCCTTCATGCAGCCAATCTGGGCTAGATCCCCAGCAATACACATCTTCAGAACAAAAATACCAATTCCACATAATCTTTTCCAGAAAAGTAAAACCTGTGTTCCCAACTTATTTTATGGGGGCAGCAACACTGATCTCCAACCAAACACAGGGGCAATGGGCAGGGCATTTGCTTTGCACTACAGAGGTCCCCCAAGCACCACCAGGAAATAAATACACTACTCTTTTCCCCCCAAAGACCACAGACATGTAAGAAAACAACAAATCAGTATGTGTCATAAAAACAAATGCCAAAATGTGCAACAAAAGAAAATCAAACCCAGAACTGTATTAACAAAGATTATAACATAACCAAATGAGGGTATCCACACCATCAGTTGTAACCCCTGCCCTCCCCCCCAAAAAAGAACATCTATTCTCACTACTCCTTACTTATTTGATTTTGGGGCCATACTTGGCAGTACTCAGGGAACCAAATATGGTGTGGGGATTGAATCTGGATGGCTGCATTAAAGCCAAGTGCCCTGTCACTGTTTTACTATCACTCCAACCCCTATTCTCACTACTCTTAAACAACATGGTATTGGAAATCCAAGCCAGTGCATTAGTTCTATCCTTGGCAGTCCTCCAAGCCCTGTAAATAATAATTTACTCAATCGTGCATTAGATCCATCTTTAAAGTAGAATATCAAAAAATTAAAAGAGTGACAAAGAAATCATCAATGATCAACAAAGGCCATCTACTGTAGAATTCCAACTTATGCAAACATAGTTAATATAGAAAAGGAGATCTATTATTAAGTTGCTGGGAATTTGGAAATAAGAGATGAAAAGTAGAGCACAGACGATTTTTACGGCAGTGAACCTACTCTGTATTAATATCACAATGACGGATACATCGCATCATTCACTTACCTAAACTACAAAACGTACAACATTAAATGAACTATAACATAAACTGTGAATTTTGGGTGATTATGATTTACCAAGGGAGACTCAACTGTAAAAAAATGTACCACTGGGGCCAGAGCTATAGCATCATGTAGGGCACTTGCCTTGCACACGGCTAACCCAGGTTCGATCCCCAGCATCCTATATAGTCCCCTAAGCACCAACAAGAGTAAATCCTGAGTGCAGAGCCAAGAATAATCCTACACACTGTTGGGTGTTAACTCCAAATCAAACAAAAGAAAAAAATTTTGAATGCCCTGCCACAGAGGCAGGGTGGGATGGCGGGGATGGGGGGTGGGAGGGATACTGGGATCCATGGTGGTGGAAAATGGGCACTGGTGGAGGGATGGGTATTTGATCACTGTATAACTGAAACCCAGCACAAAAATTTGTAAGTCTTCAACTGTACCTCATCATGTTTCACTAATAAAATTTTTTTAAAAATGTACCATTCTGGTGGAGATGTTGAACCACGTGTGGGGGGCAAAGAGGACCCAGGAAATATTTAAAGTTTTATACCTCTTATCTATTTTGTTATGATCATAAGAGTGCTCTTTTAAAAAAAAATAAAAATTAGGTATGGGGAAGGAGGGACCCAGAGATCACAATATGGTTTAAGACACTTACATGTGGCTGACCCTGGCTGGAATTCCTGACACCACATATGGTCCCTTGAGCACCACCAGAAGTTATCCCTGAGCACTGCCAGGTGTGGTCTACCAACATTTCCCACACCCCTCACTCCAAGTTACACACACAGAGGAAAAGTTTTTTCTATGCCAGAGAGCAAATGGGCCTCATGCATGCAAAACATGTACTATATATTTTTTTATATATATGCATGCAAAACATTGAGCTATATTCTTGGGCCCCCAAAATTAAATCTTCATAAAAAAAAAGAGCAAACAAGAAAAGATAGTCACTTAGCTACTAAAGAAAAAAAAGGTAAATAAAAGAGAAAAGGAAAAAAACATGAGGCTGTCTCTTCAGGATTCTAGGAGGTTCCAGAAAACAAGAATAATTTTCAAGTGAGAAGCATTAGAGAATAAGAAATTAGCATAATTTCACACAATCAGAAAAGAAAATAAAGAGACACCGTTGTCAAAAATGCCTGGATTCTAGCTCCACAATCACTAAAGACCAAGCTACCTAACTAGCCCATTTCCTACGCACGAAACAGGGTAAGGAAAACTTACTTGTAATGTGTTGTAGTCAATGAAATTCAAGGATAGTATTTAGTAGAAAAGTCAATAAATTTCAAATATATATGGCAGTTAAAAACTTTTCTTCTGCGAAGTACAGCAAAGTATTAATAAAATTAAGAGACTGAACAAATTCAGGATAATGGTCTAATTTTAAAAAGGGAGGGAAAAGGACTGACACAAGAATTTATCATATATTTTTTGCACTCCTGGAGAAAGAACTCAGGTCCTTGGAGACAAGTCATGCTGAGCCTCACCCCTAGTCCTTAGTAGTTGATTTGTGAATTCTGCTAATATATTTCCTCAGAGATTTCAATACTCACCCCGTTTATTTTTCATATTCTGATTCGATTTCAGAGCACTTTCCAACCCCTTGATTTTTTTTTTTTGGCTCTTTGGGTCACACCCAGCAATGCTCAGCGGTTACTCCTGGCAGTGCTCAGGGGACCATAGGGGATGTCGGGGATCAAACACAGGTACGCTGTGTGCAAGGCAAATTGCTCTACCTGCTGTACTACAGCTTCGGCCCACAACTCCTTAATTTGAAAATCAGTGTGTGAAAACACAATCTACTCCAGTCCCTTTGTATCCCCAGGTCAAGTGACCAAAATGCAACAACAACAATGAAAAAGCAAAGGGACACAAGTATACTTACTTTTCATTAATTTTCCTGATAATTCCTTTAGTGGCGAACAAGGACTATTCCTACTGGCTACTGCAAGTCTAGAGGAGGGTTCTTGCGTTTCAATGGAAACTTGATCAGTTACTGTTCTGGACATTTCAAGATGGAGAGAATGTGTACTATCCCATTCCTGGGAAAGTAGCAAGTGATTCTGGGCGGCGCTAGTTCTATTACTCAGGTCAGTTTCTTCTGACTGTGTCATCAGCAACTGAACTGAGCTAGAGTCCTCCAATCTCCTGTCAAGAGACTCAGTTGCAAAAGTTACTGCAGTTTCATGCTTCAGAGATGGAGACACGGGCTCAGCCAAAGAGCTCTGCTTCACTGTGTTCAGACTGTGTGCTCTTATTCGGGACCAAGTTGTAGAGTGGAAACTTTCAGCTTCTAACCAAAATTTAACCAAGTGCTCCATTCTCCGAAGTTCCATGAATTGAATGAAATAAGGGAGAACAATAGTGTCATGTAACACTTGCTCAAGAGTCTTTGAAAGACTTGATTTGGTCTCTTGTGTCTGGTAGTCCAGACAAGATCTGCCTAAAAGTAAGAGAATTAGCAGTTCAGTAACAAATTAAGATTGTCAGATTAAAATATACAAACACACACACACACACACACACACTCTCACACACATACACACACACAGAGATTAATGTTTTAACTTTCACATCCGTGGTACCAGTGATCTTTTTTAAAATGTTTACTTACCAACAATTTAATGAATAAACAAACAAGAAGAAACACTATGATTTTGGTCTCTAAAATTTGTAAGCTTTTGTTACTCAATCCTCCCATCTCTTTTGATGACAATTCAAGCATAAAACTTTTTTGGGGGTGTGGGGATGGGAAGAGAGACCCTCCCAAGTGGTGTTCAGGGGACCTAGGTGATAATTAACCAGATGCAGATTCAGTGAGCAGGATTAAGGGTAGGTGCTGTTCAGAACCTATAGTTTCAAGAACCACTAGCCCCAACCCTGACCCCCAGCTCCCGTGCTTGTGGCCATCCAGGGTCACACCCAGTAGTGCTCTAGAGGCCACGTGGCACCAGGGATCGAACAAGGCATGTGTTCTAACTATATCCCTGGCCCTGAAGCATGTAATTTCATAAAATAATAATAATAATTAAAAAAGGCCCTCCCGTTGATCGTCGATTTGCTCGAGCGGGCCCAGTAACGTCTCCATTGGAGACTTTGTTGTTACTGTGTCTGGCATATCGAATACTCTCGGTAGCTTGCCGGGCTCTCCGAGAGGGGGGGCGGAGGAATCGAACTCGGGTCAGCCATGTTGGCTGCGTGTAAGGTGAATGCCCTACCCGCTGTGCTATCGCTCCAGCCCCAATAATCATCATCATCATCATCATCATCATCATCATCATCATCATCAACCGATGGAGTGTTTTCTCGGCTATAACCAGCAGTAGTCAGGGCTTCTTCCTGGCTCTGTGCTTTCTGGCAGGGCCCATGGGACCATATGGGCTGCTGGGTCGGCCATGTATAAAGCAAATGCCATGCATTCTGTGCTACTGATCTGCCCCAATTGTATCAAGTACCGAGGAAAGAATAAAGTGGTCAACTAGGAGACAGCTCAGGTTGTAGAGCTGGGTTTGGTCCACAGCAGTGCCTGACCTCCTGATCACCAGAAGGTTTGGAGCCCAGAGGCCTGCAAGCACGGCTTGGGTGACACTGGTGGTCCCTGAGAAGTGCCAGACCCAAGCATAAGGCATACACCACTGGGAGTGGGCCCTGGACCCCTAAGCACAGTTTGGAGAGGACCCCTATAAAAATAATGGGTGGAGAGACAGAACAGTGGGTAAAGAACTTGCCTTGCATGTGCCCCAACAGGTTTAATCCCCAGTACCCCTTATTGATTTCCTGAGCCCCAACAGGAATGATCCCTGAGTGCCGTCAGGAATAAGACCTGAGCACCACCCCATGTGGCCCAAAAACCAGTAATAAAAAACAAAATAATAAAATTAATAACTAAGGGGCTGGAGCAATAGTACAGCAGGTAGGGTGTTTGACTTGCACCTAGCTGACCCAAGTTTGGTCTGCGGAACCCCGTATTGTTCCCCAGGGCCTGCCAGGAGTGATCCATTGAGCACAGTCAAGAGTAAACCCTGATTGTTGGGAGGTTCCTCTCAGGATGGGAAATGTGTGATGAGAGTAGACTATAGACCGAACATGATTGTCACTCAATGCCTCTTTTGCAAACCACAACACCCAAAAGGAGAGAACAAAAGGGAATGCCCTGCCACAGAGGCAGGGTGGGATGGGGGGATCAGGGGTGGGAGGGATACTGAGACCCGTGGTGGTGGAAAATGGGCACTGGTGGAGGTATGGGTATTCGATCATTGTATAACTGAATCCCAAGCACAAAATTTGTAAGTCTACAACTGTACCTCATGGTGTTTCACTAATAAAAATTTAAGGGGGAAAAAAAAGAGTAAACCCTGAGTACTCTGAGTGTGGTACCAAAACAAATCAAACAGGGCCAGGAAGAAGGCTCAGTGGGAAAGTGCATAGCTTGCATGCATGAGACCTGAATTTGATCCACAACACTGGGGAAAAAAAATTTAAGCCAATAAATGTATCTTAAAAATTCAGCTTTATCAAAAATTCCAGAAAAGGAAATGAATACAAGATAATACATTTGCCTATCAAACTGGATTTTTTTTTATTAATAAGCAACTCAAGGTCAGAGTAAACACTGTCAGCCACTGATGATAAAATGTAAACTAGCAAAATCTTTTTCTTTTTAAAAATTTTTATTGATTGAAGTTCTGTGATTTACAATACTTATTGTTGGCAGATTCTCATTCATCTAATTCTAACACCACACCCATCACCAGTGTACCCACCTACCTCACCCATGGACCCCAATATCCCTCCCTTTAGCCCTCCCCCACTCAACTGTATGAATCAGTTTTTTCTTTTGCATTAGCAAAATCATTTTGGAGGAGTATATGCAGTAACACGATAGCAAAGCCTTATCAATCTGCATGATTCTCAATCTCCATAAAAATGATGTCACAACATCATTTGTAGGTATTTATTCTAGGAAAAATAACAACTGTGTGGATATAGCTAAAAAAGATGCTCTGGAGTGGCAGAGACACTGCTCCCCAAGTTAAGAGCATGTTTTGCATGCCAGCTCTGGCTTGCTCCCGCCAGGAGGAACCTCCGAGAACAATGTAGGGAGCTGGGAGATCCTGAGTACTGCTATGCGTGGCCCAGACTTAAAAAAAAAAAAATTTCTACTGGAATTTAACAAAAAGGGTATCACTTACCCAAGTCACCAAAATGAGCGGCTTCCATGTGGCTTGGCTGCCTCTTAAGCGCTGCTGTCCTGCTGCTCGAGAAGGAATCCATGTTGGCAGAGATGGCGTTGATCGCAACAGGACTTGGTCCCGCAGCCTCCAGCAAGGCATGATTTTTCGTGCTTTTTTGTGGGGAAAGTACGGCTACAGAGGCTGTAGTTTTTTTCAAAAATTGTAAAAATTAAACACAATTTGACAGTTAAAAAACTATTTCATAAAAGAACTTTGAGAAAACCTTGAAAATTAAAGCTTTAACAACTCTCAAACACACAAAAAAATACGTAGAGAAAAGATAAATCAACCAGCAGAAAACTGCAAAGAAATACCATTACTAGCTCTCAAAACACTGTTCTTCCCCCACACCCCCAGCAAAAGGAAGTTAAAAAAAAATTTCTGGGCTAGAAAGATAGATCAAACTGCTAAGCATAACATGGGGAGGTCTGGGTCTGAAGCTGGGGTTCTAGCCTCAACTCTACACAGCTGATTCCCGATTCAAATTCAGAGTAGCCTTGAGCATTGCTGGCTATGACCCCAAAACAAAAGAAAAACAAGGAGAAAAAAATCTTTCTCTGAAGATTAAAACAAAACAAAAACATTTTTTAAAAAATGGATTCTTTTTATTTAGCCTTACTTAATTATCACTTTGTGAAGGAAAAAATAAAAAACTAAAACTGCAGAATGAAAGTTCTTGGAGTTTATGGGAGTGTGAGTGTGAATGTGTGTGTGTGTGTATGTGTAGTAATCAGGAAAATGCTCTTCAGAATATTTTATTTTGTGGCTGTGGGTTTTGCCAAGTGGTGGAGTGCTTTTTTCTTTTCTTCTGGTGCTCAGGGCTTAATCCTAGCAGTGGATAGAACCCAAGCACCTACTGAACTCCAGCCCCAGAAGAGTGTTATCTTGCAGATACTGCATACATGATTCTTGAATTCAATCCTGGGCAGCCCAAGGGGGGAAAGGTTACAATATCTGGGAGTGCAGGGGTGACACTAGCTGTACTCAGTGGTAATGTGGATCAAGCACAGGATTGTAAGCATAGAACGCAAACTCCTGATACCATCACAACCACAATACAAAATCACTGTGGCTTTGAGAAAAAACAAAACACCTCCTAAAATTCACAAAATATAGAACCAGGAAATAATACAGTAGTCAGAGAGTCTATCTGGTCAGTACATGGCCTGGGCTCCCTTCCTAGCACCACCCAGTACCCCAAGCATCATCAGTTACAGCCCTGGAGGTCTGCAGGGTGGCTAGGGTGGCCCAGGGATCCTCCCCAGCATGGAGCAGCAGCACCCTGGGGGGGCCCTATCCTAAACCAACGAACAAGTTGGCCGAGAACAGCTGGTAGGCGCTGGGCCTTCTGAGCATAGTCTGGAAGGACCCCCTTCCCCAACTACAGCACACAACAAAAACGCAACTTAAATAGGGCCAGGGAGATGTCACAAAACCTAGAGCCTATGTCTTACGTGTGGTAGCTCTGGATTTGAACCATGCAACTGATCACATGGTTCCTCAAGCACCAAAGAATGTGATTCACCCCCACCCAAACTTTTGAAAAATTGAAGTGTGTGTGTGTGTGTGTGTGTGTGTGTGTGTGTGTGTGTGTGTGTGCGCATGATCATCTTTTTAATTTCTCAGCAGAGGGTTACCCATGTGTTAAAAGGCAATAATCAACTCAATTTTATAATACCCTTCCTATGAAATTTGTTCCAACTGCTGAATTAAAACTGGACCAAACAAAGATACCACTGAAAGGGCTGTGGTACACACACTTTACAGGCAGAGGTTCAGGTTCCATCCCTGCACTGCTAGGAGTGATCCCTGAGCTCCAGAAGAGAGCTGGTGCAGTTCCTGAACATTACAAGGATGCACCCCCAAACCCAGCAAACAGATTAGTCAATTAAAAAATAAAAGATTAGTCAACAAATAAAGTCTACTGTATTCGTTCACAACACCCAAAAGGAGAGAGAGAGAGAGAGAGAGAGAGAGAGAGAGAGAGAGAGAGAGAGAGAGCGCAAAAGGGAATGCCCTGTCACAGAGGCGGGATGGGATGGGGTGGAGGGGACGGGGGCGGGGGGAGGGATACTGGGACCATTGGTGGTGGAAAATGGGCACTGGTGGAGACATGAGTACTTGATCATTGTATGACTGAAACATAAGCATGAAAGTTTGTAAGTCTGTAACTGTACCTCACTGTGATTCACTAATAAAATTTTTTTTTAAAAAAAGTGTTGGTTTAGGGTCAAAAGTATAGCTCCATGCTAAAGCTCATGTCCTGCAAGCATAAGGCATGGGTTCAATCCCTGGTACTGGAAAAGGGAGGTTCCCAAACTTATTTGGCCTACCTGTCCCCTTTCAGAAAGGCAAATTTACTCAGTGCTCCCCCTGGAATTCTACCTTCATTAAGGAAACTAAGCCCAGATCTCTGTAGGGAAGCCATGTGGCACACTTTGGCAAACAATGGTTTAGAGAGAGCATTACAGCAAAAAGGACAGAATCTATACAGGTCACAGAAACTGTCCAACATTCCACATCCTCACGATGAACAACTCACGATAACCAAGCTTTCATCTACTAGCACCACTGACTCTACTGATTTACAAATGCTCACAATCTTAAGCATATGGTTCTCAGACACTGAATCTAAGTAATACTTGGCAATAGTTCCTATAAAGAGCACGTGGTACTATAGTTAAATCAACTATTCTTTTGAGATGTTTATAAAAGAAAGCAGACAAAAGTAAAAATGTGCATACCTGTTTTCCAGGTATCCATATTTATCAATAATTCAATAATACTTGGGAGAATTACAATGAAGTTGTCTTCAAAGGACTTTTTCAATTTAGAAGTCTTGTTCGGTTTTTATTTTTTACAATAAATTGGAGACAAAACCATTTTAGCAAGTGCATAGGCAGCAGAACTAGATACATAGCTAATACAACGCAAACAATGGTGAGGCCAGGCCAGGGTGAGAGCCCAGGGTCAGGGATGCATGCTTTGCATGTTCCAGTTCTGAGCTTGGGCCTCCCAACTACATGGTCTCCCAAACACATGGCCCAAGTGGTTCCCAACACCCAGGACCCAGGAAGGTCTGCACTGTTGGGTCAAAGCATTGAACTGCCCAGCCCAGCTGGCCAAGTGTTATCATTATGTCTCCAGTATCTCTGATGGCCAGTACCCCGTGGGAGGGCCCTACCAACAATACAATAAGGAAAAAGAAATAAATAAAATGATTAGGTGTTGAGAAAATTGTTTTTTAATCAGATGTTTATGAAGACACAAACGCTATTCATCTTACACGGCTTCTTGCCTTCTCTACCAGGACCAGCAGCTTCCTTCATGCGTTCCTTCTGGACCGCTCTCCTTCCTTTGCTCTCTGTGTTATTACACTGTATTCTCTTCTTTTTGTTCCTCTCTCTTACTCTTTTACTACTAATTTATTTATTAAATGCTCACTGTATCAAATAATCTCTTTCCATGACTACTGTTTTTCCTAAGGTTCTCTCTTTTTATTCTTCCTACCAGGGAGCACATTATCCAAGTCTTAAACTATTCTTTGGACAGTATTTCTCAAATTTTCTTCATTTCCTCTTCTATCAATGATCCCTCTTAAAGCTAAGAAAGAGAAAAAAAAACTAACAAAATCATGGCATATAAGCACAATGGAATCCTGCTCAGCTGTAAGATAAAATCTTGCAGTTCAGTGCAACTTAGATAGAGGAGGGTGTCATGCTAAGCAAAGTGAGTCAAAGGAGAAAAGACAAACAACAAATGACCTCACTCATATGTGGCACAGAAAGAAACATATTAAGAGAACAAATAATGACCAGTCACGGCAGACCCCAAGAATGAACTGAGCTGGCTAAAAAAGATGTGAGCACAGTGAGGGGACAAGATCAGCAAGGGCAGTGGTGGAAGGAAGAGGCATGTCGGCATTCTCGAGGTAGGGAGGTGTGGTGTGATGAAACAGATGCCTGAAATGTAGTGTAAATCCACTGCACAGAAGTAAAAATAATTAAAATTGGGGCCAGCGAAGTAGTACAGTAAGCAGGATGCTTTCCTTGCCTGCAGCCAACCCAGGTTCTATTCCCAGCACCTCATTCGATCCCCTGAGGTGGAAGAGAGCCAAGAGTAACCCCTGAGCACCAATGGATGTGGCCCAGAAACAAACAAAAAATTAAAATAGAAAAAAAACTAGGCAAAACAGGTAAAAATATAAAAACACATCCAAAAGAGCGGGGGGAAAGAACCACTAACTCTTGCTAATTTAAGGGGAAAGTCTCTGGCACTCATGAGGACCCTTAACATGAGCCCATTCCACAGCAGCTCCCAGGGCTTCCTCTGTGCTCCTCGAGCTGGGCCTTGATTCTGTATCTTCATTTCCCACCAGCATTTCGTATGTTTTGGGGCCATACCCAGCGGCACCCAGGGCTTATTCCTGGCTCTGACCTCAGCGAACACCCCTGAAGGACTCAGGGGACATCTGGGATGCTGGGGATTGGATCCAAGTTGGGTACATGCAAGGCAAGCGCACTCCCCATTGTACAACCACTCTAACTGTTCACATTCCTTACTGTGATTTTACCATCTCAAGTCAAATACCCAAATATCAAACCTAATCACATTTCCCTCAAGCCAATTTTCCTTTTCAATTTCCCTATGAAATCCTTTTCAAATTCCCTATGAATGTCTCAAAAGCACCTCTCATTCAATGTACCAAAACTGAATTTATAACATTCGGGCTTGGTTCTCTACCAGTCACTCTTAGAAAGCCTACAGGATAGGGGTTAACCTAAAATGTCCCTCTGCCCAATAACCCATTATTTGGGTTAATAATGACAAATCTGAATAACAAGGTTTTATCCTTTTCACCTTCTAAACTGACCTGTCCAGATATTTTTATTTCCATTACTCCCAATCTAACCCAAACCATTCCTGGAACCATCTGATTAACAGCCTTCTTCCCACACAAACCTGCAAGTTCAATGAGGGACAGATCCCAGTCACTGGTCTAGTCCCAGTTTTGTCTAATGCCTAGAACACAGTATGTATGCTATATGTCCTCAATAAATGGTAGCTTTACTTGTTTTTATTTGTCTAACCAGCACTACCAGATGAGGTCCCCACAATTAACAACCAAAGTAAATAAATAAAAAGCCATCAGTATAAACAAGAGATTCAACTGACATCAAACAATCAAAAACAAGCAGAAAATAAGGCTGAAAGGTTATTTTTATCTTCACTATTCTTATCAATCTATTAAGTCATAACTGATATATCTGGCAAATTGAGCATAAAGAATTAATACTCAATGCTAGACACTATAAACATTTGAAATAAAAATCTAAGTAGCAACTTGTAGACTAAATAATTTGTGGGATTTATATATAATGACTGTATCACCGTATCACTGTCATCCCGTTGTTCGTCGATTTACTTGAGCGGCGCCAGCAGCATCTCTATTCCTCCCAGCCCTGAGATTTTAGCAGCTTCTCCTTGCTCATCTTTCCCAACGATCGGAGGCTCTTTCAGGGTCAGGGGAATGAGACCTGTTATTGTTACTGTTTTTGGCATATCGAATATGCCACGGGGAGCTTGCCAGGCTCTGCCTGTGCAGGCAGGATACTCTCGGTAGCTTGCCGGGCTCTCTGAGCGGGGAGGCGGGGGTGGTGGTGGTGGTGGTGTGTGTATTTCTCGCTATGATTTGTTGCTTAATGTCTGAACCCCATCAAATATGGTGTGGCAATGATGGAAAATGGGTAGGAAGTATCCCATGATGTGCCGCGTGGCCTGGAGCATGGCGGCGGTTGGGTAGTGGAGGTTAGCTGCTGAGGCTCTGGGCACCCTGAGTGAAAATAGCCTGGTAAGGAGTCCAGATATAATGACTATAAAAATAATTTGTTTTAATTTTCCCATTCTAATCTATGTACACAAGTAAAACTATGGCACATATTACAACCTAAAAGAAGTCCCTAGCACCACTTGGTGCGCCACTCCCCCCCCCCCCCCACTGCACCAACCCAGCAACAAGCTATTACTATAGATAATACATTGATTCCAGAAATATACTTTGAATACATTTTAAATTAAGGCCATCCATCCAAAGTAATGAAAATTAGCATCATCCTGAATAAACATTTCTGAATAAACAACAGAAAATCAAGCCTTGTAAGTGACAGTGCTTCCATACAGTCGTCAGACTGCTTAGCCTAGTATTTCTGCTTTTCATTTATGTTTCATAGGGCTCAATTCTAGCTGGTACCAGGTGGCACAATCTGACCGTTCAGGATCAGGCATCTGGGAGCTACCCCGATGGTCCTGGGAAGCGAGGAAAGAGGGATGCTTGGTGCTAAGGATGGAACCCAAGTTTTCATGCATGCTAGGCATATGCTCTACCAGCTGGGCTAGCTCTCGAGTCTTTTTAAAGAGATTTTTGGTTCTTTTGGGCCATACCCAGCAGTGCTCAGGGGACTATGTGGTACCAGGGATCAAACCCAGGCCTTCTTCAAGCAAAGCATAAACCCTCACTTTTCATTTATTTATTTAGCTTTTAGGTCACACCCAGAGGTGCTCAGGGTTTACCCCTGGCTCTGCAATCAAGGATGACTCCTGGCCGGCTCAGGGGAGCATATGCAGTGCCAGGGATTAAACCTGGTCAACTGTGTATGAGGCAAATACCTACCCACTGTACTATCTCTCTGGCCTCCCACTTTTTATTTTATGAAGTCAATGAATTGCTTTTAGGAAACAACCAAATGTATAATGAATATGGACACTGTAGACACTACATCTTTTATGAGAAAAAAATTGATAGGCAACTTAGGAAACAAATCAGTCATAAATAGATGGCAGAAAGGAATAATATCAAAAGGGAGAAAGATACAAAATACAGCAATTCGTAAATGTAACGCAGTTTAATAATAATGAATGTCACTGAACTCACCTTTAAGTGACTTAACATCTGAGGTCTTCTCTTGTTCTTTGCCTTTCACTAAAAAAAAAGAGCAACAAGATCAGTCAGTCAAGAGGACCCATCCTATACATCGTAAAAACCAGACAAGTTTATTCTAACACTTGACAGCACTGTTTTAGAAACGATGGACTAATTTCCTTGGAGGGGGACAGGGCAGATGCTAGGGGAAGTTATTCTAAATTCCCTTTAAACAACATTCAAAAATATCTTAAAACAATGTTTCATTCCCTGGGTAGGTGCACAGGAATAATTCAAAGGGGCGGCAAGCAACCCAAGGCAAGTAACCTTGGGCTCAACGCGGAGGGAGGGGGGTGGCACGGGGGTTCGGGGGGGACGGACCAAACGGGGGACGGGGGGATGGTACTGCTTTTATGATTAAAGAAACTCGATTTCTAGGGGAGCACTGAGTGACTTTTTCCTGAAAAGTGGGTGGTAGGCCAAATAAGTTTGGAACACCTGATCCAGAGTGATTACAAGGACACACATTAAAAATACCTGTGTCAAGGACCCAAAAGGAGAGAGAGAGAACAAGGGGGAATGCCCTGCCACAGAGGCAGGGTGGGATGGGGGGGGCGGGGGGTGGGAGGGATGCTGGGACCCATGGTGGTGGAGGATGGGCACTGGTGGAGGGATGAGTACTTGATCATTGTATAACTGAAACCCAAGCACAAAAATTTGTAAGTCTGTAACTGTACCTCATGGTGTTTTATTAATAATAAATAAATAAAAGTTAAAAAAAGAAAGCACTAAAAAAATAAAAAGACTATTTCCTTTTTAAGAAACATAAGTTATAATAACAGAAAGGTTAACCTGCTGGAGATTAAGGATGAAAATAAATTCATATTCTATAAGAAAAAAAAATATGTGTGTCACACCCAAGAGGAGAGAGAGAACAAAAGGGAATGCCCTGCCACAGAGGCAGGGTTGGATGTGGGGGACGGGGAGTGGGAGGGATACTGGGATCCTTGGTGGTGGAAAATGGGCACTAGTGGAGGGATGGGTATTTGATCATTGTATAATTGAAACCCAAGCACAAAAATTTGTAAGTCTACAACTGTACCTCATGGTGTCTCACTAATAAAAATTTTTTAAAATTAAAAATAAAAATAAATAAAAAATGAAATAGGGGGGGAAAAAAGAATACCTGTGTCTGGTACTGTCATTTAATAGCCTTGGATCTGATCCTGGACAGGCTACTTTATTTCTCTGAGTTTCAAGTTTCCTGACTTATAAAACTAGGTGAGTAATAGTTAACACTAGTAATTACAGTATATAGTAGACTGCAAATGAAAAAAAAAGTGGCTTAAAATGGAACTAGCAACTAGACACGTGTAAAAACAGTTTTTTTTGTGCATCATATATTACTTCTGTATTACTCATCAAGTACACACTTAACAATGTTCAAGACTTAATAGAACTTTTCCTTGAGCAAAATATACTGTCTTTTCTATGACACACGCAAAACATATCTATTGTAGATATGTTACCAATGTAGTATCTAAGGAAGATGCAAGGTAAACTTAGCGGTAGGGCATTTGCCTTACAAGTGGCCAACATGACGACCCGAGTTCGATTCCTCCGCCCCTCTCGGAGAGCCCGGCAAGCTACCAAGAGTATCTCGCCCGCCCGGCAGAGGGCAGAGCCGTGACGTATTCGATATGCCAAACACAGTAACAACAAGTCTCATGATGGAGATGTTACTGGGCCCACTCGAGCAAATCGATGAACAACGGGAGGACCGTGACCGTGACATGACGGATGTGTTTGCAAGACGCAGGGTCCCCATGCCAACCAGCCAAGCAGTTCCATGCAAGAGCCCAAGGATGCAGTGCCACTGCGCCAGGAAGAAGAGGACCACCCCTGTGGTGACCAAGGACTTTGAGGGCCACACCCAGGGCCTGAGGATATCCAGGAGAAGAGGGGCCACATGGTTCTGCGGATCAAACCCAAGTTGGTGAACAGTCGTGTCACCAATTCCTATACTCCCACATGACTATTTTAACCATCTTCACTCTTTTTTTTTTTAGCAAAACTTCTTTTACCTCTTTTTTTCGCATCAAACTTTCTTTCACTACAGATGACAACTTGCCCTGGTCCTAAAACTTTTCTTTAAGGACCATCAATGCAATGGTTCATTGGAAATGCTCCCATCTTTCTGGTTTTATTCTATCAATGAACACAGTATACTCTACTTAATTCTTTTACATCCCTCAATTACATTTTGCAAATTCCATACATTTGTTTTTACTTGCATACCAAACTAAAGACTTTTAATGAACCATGTGTAGACTTTTACATACAATCAGGTCTATCTGGGAATAATTCTTTTTCTTCCCATTCCACCCCAAACTCACCGTGTGTGTACTCGCGCGCATGTGCTATTTGCAAAGATCAAACCTGTTTTTACTTTGCTCACGTTTCTCATCCTTTTACTTTTAGCCTTCCCATGATCTTTTTTTTCTTTTGGAAAGGTCTCTCCACTGGTTCTGGGAGCCACCAGGGCTACACAGCAGTGCTCAGGAGGCCACAGAGTGCCATGGATTGAACCCAGGGTCCTTTGCACACCTAGAATCAGTTATCCCCACCCCTTACGTTTTCTTTCTTCCTTCATGCTAAACACATCTCCTTTTCTCCCTCTCTATAAGACTACAAGATCTCCCTCTATACAAAATTATTCCTACCAGCATGCAACTGTTGTAGGGTTCTTCTTTTGGTGGGTCCACCAACAGTGCTCAGGAGCTGCACCTGGCAGTGCAAGTGAAGCCATACGAGCTCCAGGACAGAACCCGGCCTCCTGCACGCAAAGCGGCTGAATTCTCTGGTTCTGCTCTACCATTTATTTTGAAAATCAAATAAACCCTAACCCTAACCCAATAGTATCTTCCAGTATTTGCTCCCTTTCGTTACTTTCCAAGCAAAGCTTCTTGAAAAGGGCATCCTTACTATATTTTCTTCATTTCACATTTTCCCTTAATCCATTCCAGACCCTCCTCCACTTACAAGCATTATGAATTGCTTCTACAGTATCTAAGTGGCAATTTCTATTTCTCCTGACCTCGCAAGTAACATTCAACACAATACTTCCCCCCCTTTTATTTTTTAAAAAATGTCTTTTAGCTTCCATGGCACTGCTCACCTGTCTTGATGACATTTTACTTTCCATCCTTTCTGCCAATGACTCATGATCCTTAACTTTAAAAAGCTTGATTAGGGCCAGAGAGATAGTAAAGGGTTTAAGGCACACAGCTGACCCCAGTTTGATCCCAGGCTCTGTATATGGCCTCCTGAACACAGAGCCAGGAGTAAGCCTGGGATCACAAGGTATGGTCCAAAACAAAACAAAACACTAGATTAATCCAGAGGCCTTTCCTAGATTCCCATCTTGCCTATGATTTGGGTAAGAAATACTACCTGACCCCTGAACACACACTCCGTTCCCCAGCAGAAGGGAAACCATTTAACAGATACCCAGCGAACTGCTCTAGAGGGCCTGCACCGGCACAGGCCTCTGCAGTCAGCTGCAGGCACTGGTCAGATCACACGGACAGAATACAGACACCTCTGCAGTCCTCCAAACACTATTCACACAGTCGAGATTTGGAAATAACTCAATTACAGGTGAAGAATAAAGGTGATGTAGGAAGATGTACAAGATAAAGGAGATGTAGTAATTAAACATACTTAGTCTTGCATGAAACCTTATCTTTTGCTAAAACATGGCTAGAACTATAACAGGTCATGCTAAGCAAAGTAAGTCAGAAGGAGAAAGAAAACTACAGAAGGATCTCAACTACATGTAAGATATAAAGATATAAGGAAAACAACGTACAATAAAACCAAAAGACTCTGACAACAGCAACAACTTTACTGACAGTGAAAGAAACTGGGAGGGGTAGTGAGCTAAAAGGGTCCTACCACCTGCAGAGGAGGTACAGTGGCACTTTGTGAGTGTGATACAGTAATACTGTACACTGAAGATATAAACATTTAGTCTTTTAAGTGGCTTTCATTTCACAAAAATGGAAGCAAATTAAAAGCTTAAAGCATTTAAAAAGTATGAATAGAAAAGGTATGTGCCACTGTCCGGCCAAAGTTTTTCTCTACTTCTTTCTTCCCCCTCACCACATATCAAGAGTGAAGACAGACTGAAGGAGACAGTAGAGGGGATCAAGTACGTAACTTGCAAGTGGCGACCCAAGCGCAACCCCAATTCCAGTTGGATCCCCAGCACCGCATATAGTTGCCTGAGCACCATCAGGAGTGCTCCCTGAGCAGAGCCAGGACTAAGCTCTGCACTGCCAAGGGTAAGCCCAAACCACCCACTCACCCACCACCACCCCCATCAGCCAAGATTAAAGATTGAAAGGAGACGGTCTTTAATAAAAGAAAAAAAAAAACAAGAAAAGAGGATTAGTTAATTCCTCCTAGTTCAAGAGCTCTGTGTGCAAAGCTTTCTCTATTTTCCCTGCCATCATTTATTGAGGTCATTATTTCTATCTCCAAAGCACATCCCCCTCCTCGACAATTTAGTTTCTTCCTTCTGCTCCTTAAACACACCAGTTCACTCCTGCCTCAGGACATCTGTATTCATTTCTGTCTGGAATGCAGTTCTACTTAACACGGGTGGTTGTCCTCAATCAGAATCAGCTTCAACACCATTTCTCAGACAAGTCTTCCCTTATATGATCCCATCTGTAACTGACACCAATTGTCATCTGGTAACCTGTTCTCATATTGCCATTTAAATTCTAAGCACAACATTTACTATCAGCTGATTTTTAATTTATTTTTATTATATTTTTAATTATTCAAAAACCATTTTAAACTAAATTTCTAATTATATCCAAGGCACTGATTTAGGTATGAGGACAGCTATGCACAAAAATCTATGCAAGAGGCCTGAGTTTGATCACACATGAACCTGGAATAATCCAAGAGCACTGTTGGGTATGGCCAGAAACTCTCCACCCTCTCATACAATGCAATCTATTTGCAATTTTTCCATTAAATATCTGTCACAGACTGGCAGGTGGATACCAATCTGGATTCAGGAAAGAGAATTCAAGCTGCCATTCTAATACAATATATGGAGCAACAGAGTCACTGTAGAGAAAAAAAATTGAAGTAGGGTAAGGGGATTAAAATTCAGGGATCAGGGAATGGCAGTCTTAAGTAGGGCAGTCAGAGAAAGTTTTACCAAGATATTAAATAATCAAAGAACAGGGGGTAAAAGAGGTGGATTTTTGTTTTCAGGCAAAAGACCAAGTGCAAGGGTCCTGTTAGAGGTGGGAATGGACCTTAAAGATAAATAAAAAGGAGTGATGGGGAGGGGCGCACGAGGAATGAGTATTAAAGGGAGATAAAATGGGACCTTGATTATGGAGGGCCACATCCAGGAAACCACTGGATTATGAATACAGGTGTGTCATAATGTAGTTGGTAAATATATGCCAAGGACAGGAGGGAAACCAAGCTGAAAATCATGGCGAAACAATGACCTCTTCATTTTTCAATACCAGCTTCTGGACATTTAAGCCAAGGAAGGAAAGGAAAACCTTCCAGGGGATGTCTTGAACTGGAAGTAGATATGACTGCATAGAGCATGATATTAATGGTCAGAGGTAGGATTTTGGACGTTGTGGGGTAAATGGAAGAGACTTGCTGACTGGTCAGATATAATTTAAAAAAATCTGTATCTATTTTATAGAAGAACAGAAGTTTAAGTATGCACTAAAGCTTTAGTCTAAGAGATTAAAAGAGCAGAAATAAAATTGAGAAGAAACACATGTATCATTTTAGGAGACTTAAATGTGGAGTTAAACTTTAATGCAGTTAGTACTTTTTGATAAAAGCTAAAGATTTATCCATTTTATTTGTTAACATACAAATCTATTTGCAATTTTTCCATTAAAAATATCTGTTAGCTAGAGACACAGACTGGCAGGTGGATACCAATCTGGATTCAGGAAAGAGAATTAAAGCTGCAGATACCAATTTGGCTGTCATTGGTATATAGGTAGCATTTTTAAATGGCATTTAAAGGTCGGATGAATTTCTAAACAGGACCATATCCAACTAATACCTTTGCCATATTCAGTTGCCAAACGGCATACAGAATTATTTTTGGTGGGTGGGGTGAAGAGTAGCCATGGGGCTACTCCCAGCTCTGTGCTCTGGGAACCACATGGTATTGAGGATAAACCAGGATACGAGGCTAGTGTCTTACCTCTGTATCTTACCTCTATACTGTTTCTCTGGCCTCTAGAATTACACACACACACACACACACACACACACACACACACATTATTATTATATATAATACATATTTTTAAATCCACTTTAAATTTGGGGGATTTTTTTTGTTTCGGGGGTCACACACAGTAGTGCTCAGGTTACTAGCTCAGCACTCAGGAATTACTCCCAGCGGGCTCAGGGTCATATGGGATGCAGGGAATGGGATCCAGGTTGGCCACATGTAAGGCAAGCACCCTACCTGCTCTGGTCCCTCCACTTTAAATTTTTAAATTAACACTGCCTCTGCTCTTGGAATGAAACCTAATTTTGGACAACATAGTTCCGAATCATATCATCCTTATCTCCTCCTCTGCCTAACTCACAGTGACCTTTTCTTTCTTGAAGGACACTAAACCCTGGCCTCCTCATCTCTGAAAATGCTCTTTCCTGATGTATGTTACTTCCTACTGACTCCAGCTCTAAATTTCAATGTTTTCTGGCAAAGGCCTTTCTCATATCTAACCAAGACATTTCCTTCCTCAGACATCTCTTTCATAATTTGTAAGCAGAAAGAATGAAAAGCAAACAAGCAAAATAGAAAAAAAAAAGACAGAGATTTATTTATTTATTGCCTGTCTAGCCCAGCACACCTTGGTCGAAGCTGACAGCCTAGCACAGTAGGTATTCAAAGTACTTGGTGAGCAGAGACAATAGTTTGTTGTGCAACACCCAATTTCCTTCGTTATACATTGAAGAGTTTTCCCCTTTGAAAAGAGGAAACGCAAAACTTTAAACAGGGCAAACAAATCAATCATTAACTCTATCAAGGTACTTAAAAAAAAAAATTCTCGTCCTATCTTAACATCCCGTGGCGTTCCTTTAGCACTGTTTCTGGGTATAAATCCATAATATATTTATCACAAAGCATCAGTTTCTAAATGTCTATGTATTTAAAAAAGACTACTTCAGTTATTAGTAGGACGGCAGCTTTAGGAGACGAGAAAGGAGCGAAAAGTGAATAAACACTTTCCTGTCTCGCAGGGCTGTCATGTGAGCCCAAGCCCCTGATTTAGTTTAGTACTTTTCCCAGCAAAAAAAAAAAAGACCGTTTCTGTCTGGTACACTTCCTCCGAAGCAACAAGATCTGACATGAGAACCACTGTCACCCAAAGGCTCGTACTTGCCACTGTGCATCTACATCTCCACTGAAACGCCAGCAACCGTCCGCAGGACCCACCGCCCCGCCTCTCCGTAAGCCCTCCGCTGGACAAGCCAGGGTCCGGGGGCAGGAACCTGCCAAGTCACCGAGGGCAGTCTCCAGCGGGGACTCCGCGCGGCGGGCCACGCTCCCTCTGGACAGACCTTCCGCCCGCGCGGCGGGAACGAGCAGCGACGCCGGCAGAGGAGGCAAGCGCTCACGTGCTCCCCCTCACCGGTCTGAGAAAGTCGGGGGCTCCGGTCCCCGGAACTATCGGGGACCGACCCTCCCTCCCGACCCGGCAGTGTCGGGCGCAGCGCCACGGCCGGGAGGCGGCTCCACGCCACGGTGTGTGCACGCCGGAGGCGCCCGCCCGGCCCGCGCCCGTCCGGTCCGCACCCGCACCCGCACCCGCGCCCGCGCCCGCGCCCGCCCGGCCCGCGCCCGCCGCCCGGCCCGCCGCCCGCTACCTTTCCGCCGGAAGAAGGACATGGCGGGGCCCGGGTCGGGCCGGAGGGCGCGGGGGGACTGGCGCGGGGAGGGCCCGGCTCCCTTCATCCAGCGACCGGCCCGGACTCCCGGGAGCGCAGCGGCCTCCGCACTAGCCCGAAGCGCGCCCCCTCCTCCGGCCGAGGGCCCCGCGGCAGCGTCCCGGCGCCCCGGCAGCGCCCGCCGCCATATTATCAACAAGCCGCCCGCCCGGAGTTCCGGTCCTTCCCCGCGCGAGGCCTCACGGGAGGTCGCGTCGGCCCCGCCTCTCCCGCCTCCTCCGGCGAGGGGGCGGGGCGCGCCCGCCACGTGACCCGGGCCCGGGCCCGCCGTGGGCGCTGCAGCTGCAGCCTCCGGGAGAGCCCGACAAGCGAGCTTTCCCGGAGCCGGCTCTGCTCTGAGCCGACACCGCCTGCTAGAAGGCCTGGCAGTTGACTGAAAGGCCCTGGCCGGCAAACCCTCTTTCCCTGGCGTCGCCACCCCCGCTTACCCCGAGGAACGAGTCCCGCGGGCGCACTGCCGGCGCCGGCTTCCCGGGTGGGGCCGAGAAACAGCCTTCGTAGCAGGCTCCTCCGTTCCAGTGCCGGCGAAAGGATCGTGCTTGCAGTGCGATTCCTGCAGATGCTCTTAGTTTGAAAGAGGGCAACAGCAAAATCAAACCCCACGATTCCTCCCGCCTGCTGGTTCCTGTCTGTGTGTGCATCTTCTGACCCTACCTAAGCCGGAGCGAAGGGCCCTGCCGCCTTCAGTACCTCGCACCGCGGATGGGTTCTGGTTGTAGCTGATCCTGCTGGGAAGGAGCATGGTGTTAAATGTGCACGGGGGGTGGGGGGGGGGGGGTTGTTAGGTTTATTTGTTTCTTTGTTTTAGTACCAACGGAGTCCTTCCTGTGCCGAATGTGGAAAACAAGCTCTGAGAGGAGGCGTCTTGGCCAAGACGATTCAGGGTATTTTCACCGTTACTGAAATACATTAATATTGGTAGCAAGTAAACAGATTTGCCTATTTTGTTGAAAGCGTTTAAAAGTCAGCTGATATTAAAAGTTGACTGTGTCGTCGGTATTGTGCCCTTCAGAGCGACAAGAATCCGTCGAGTGGTTTTTAGCAGAGAGAAAAAATCACCTGGCCCAGGTCGTGAGCCAGATGTAGCGTCTGCACCGCGCACCCGAGAGGCAGCTCCAGTGCTCGGATCCAGCCGCCCGCCTGGCCAGGACAGTGCCCTGCAGGCCCCAGGGTGTCCCCTCTGCTGAGCCAGGGCTGAGGTTGCAGGCAGACAGGCCAGGGCTTCCGGCTTCGCTAACGAGCTATAGGGAAATAAAGCTTGAGGGGAAATTGCGCTGGAGCTGCGGATGGGGTGCTCGCCTTGCACTCCAGTGGCCAAGGTTCAATCCCTGACACCCCATATGGCTCCCAAATCCCCCAGTGAGTAGAGCCAGGAGTAAGCCCTGAGCACCGCTGTGTGTGTTTGAGGGGGGACCTCTCTTTCCCTCCCCCCAAAATAAATAAACCCTCAGAACATGCCCTCCTCGTCCCAGGAAAAGGGAAATTAAATGGAGTGAGCTAGTGTTCAATTTGAGCAAACCTCTGCCGTGCAACAGAAGGGCGAGGCCGAGGGCATCTCACTGAGCAGGAGAGGGGAGCACCGCCTCTTCTCCAGGAGCTTCATCTCCTGGGAGTCCTTGACTCACTGGTTGGTGGTCTGGATTGGAAAGGGCAATGCAGAAATATTCCTGCATATCTCAGGAAAGGAGAACAGGGGCAAGAGGGAGCCATCTAGTTCCTCTAAGTTTTGGGGTTTTTTTGTTTTGTTTTGTTTTGTTTTTTTGCTTTTTAGGTCACACCTGGTGATGCACAGGGGTTACTCCTGGCTCTGCACTCAGGAGTTACTCCTGGCAGTGCTCAGGGGACCATATGGGATGCTGGGAATCGAACCCAGGTTGACCGCATGCAAGGCAAACGCCCTACCCACTGTGCTATCTCTTCAGCCCCCATAGTTCCTCTAAGTTTTAAGCCTTTACCAGTTTTCTCAACTAAGCGTAGAATCCATATAAAAGCATGGCTTACCGCTTCTAACATGGTTGCCCCTCTTGCTCCCCTCCTAGCAGAAACTTCTAGACAGCTGAATACATCCCAATCAGCTAATGATAGCTATTGCTATTCATGAAGCTTTCAATATAGATGCTTATAATTAGAATCTCACCTAAATCTTTCGTTCTCCCCTGCCCCCCCCCATGGCCTGTGAGATGACCACCTACATTTACTGCCCACAATGTACAGATAATGACTGGGTTACTTACCCAGGATCACAAGGCAGAGACAGAATTTAAGTCACTGTCATGGGACTCTAAAGCCCTTTTTTTACATCACTCCCTCCTTTCTTTCCCTCCATCTCCAGGAATATCTATTTATCTGATTTTCAGCATGAAATCCCTATTTATTGGACAAGCATAAAGGGCACAAGTGATCATTGCAGAACAGATGCTTTCTGAATCATCACTCATTAAAGTGTTTATATGCTTAAGGAAGCTTTAAAATTATTATCTTAGGCTTTTGATATTTGATAATGTACATCTGAATTAAGCTGAAATAACACAAATATAATATATGCATGAGTATTCTATTAACCTGAATACCCACTTGTGGCAAACTGATACTTTATTGCATTTCTAAGTTAGTCTATTAGTCACTTTAAATTTACAAGTAAGCAAAATACATTTTTAGAAGAAGGAATTTCTGTATGTTACTGATTTTAAGGAAATCTTCACACTCCTTATTATCAATTGTATAAATTGCAATGTTAGTGAAGTAAAATCATGAGTTAACTATTTTAGCAGGCGGTAGTAGAGGAGAGGCTGGCGATGTATTTTCGGGACACAATAAAACCAAGATGGGATTTGAAGAAGTTACTCTGACACTAGCTAAAAGCATTATTGCTGACCCCCTCCAGAGAGAAGCTCTAGCTCTCACCAGCACAGACCCAGAGAGGCTCCAGCCCCCCTCCCTTTTTGGCTTTTTGGGGTCACACATGGCAATGCACAGGAATTACTCCTGGCTCTGCACTCAGGAACTACTCCTAGCGGTGCTCGGGGAACCATATGTTATGCTTGGAATGGAACCCAGGTTGGCTGTGTGCAAGGCAAACGCCCTCCCCACTGTACTCCACCCCTAGCTCCAGCTCTTTGAAGAGAAGTTCCCACAGGAACAAGGTGTTGTGATAAGAGCATGAAAGAGGGCCATTAAAAGTTCCAAACTCTTCACCTTGGCAACACCTGACGACACCAGAGAAATAGACTCAATCTAAAACCAACTTGCAAAAGCAAGCAGGCTGCTTTCCCATTCTGGTGGGTGGCCTGCCTCAACCTAATGGACTCTCAGGTCTCCATCTCTGGAGAAGCCCACATTCTCTCTTGTACCCTTGACTCTTTTACCCCAACCTCTCCACCCCAACCTTGTATTCTCAGACCTGTAACCTAGTGCCCAGAATTTGTTATCAATTGATGTCATCCATACTCTTGATTTGCTTCTTTATAGAAAAACAGATGAGATCATCTGTTATTTGTTCTTCTGACTTATTTTGCTCAACATGGTACTCTCCAATTCAATCCAAGTTTTTATGAACTGAATGCTTTTGTCTTTTCTTACAGCTGCATTCTTTATGCATTCATAACTTCTTTATGCATTCATCTTTTGCCTGACATTTGGGTTGTTTTCATATCCTGGCAATGACATAAATGTACAAATATCTTTATAAATTTGTGTTTTTGTGTTTTGGGGGTAGATTCCTACAAATGGGATAGCTGGGTAATATAGGAGCTTCATTTTTACCTTTTTTGGGAAATCTCCATATTGTTTTCCATACAGACTAAACCATACAACATTCCCTCTAACAGTGAGTGAGCATTCCTTTTTTTCCACATCCCCATCAACACTGACTGTCTCAATAGTTGTTGTTTCCAGTTGTTTTTAATTTTTGTACCATTTTTACTGGTAGGCAATGAAACTTCTTTGTTGTCTTGATTTTTTAAATTAAATTTATTTATTTTGAATACCCATCCCTCCACCAGTAACCATTTCCCACCACCACGGATCCCAGTAACCCTTCCACCCCCCATCTTCCCCATCCCACCCTGCCTCTGTGGCAGGGCATGCCCTTTTGTTCTCTCTTTCCTATTGGGTGTTGTGGTTTGTAAAAGAGTTAAGCCTGATTTTCAGGGAGAAAAGTTGGATAATTTACTTTCCATTGATCACTTTATATATAAGAAGATGTTGCGTGGCCACGTAAGCGGCCATGCAGTTTGGAGTAAAAGTCCTGGTTCCTGCATAACTGAGCTATGCTTGTAGAGGCTCATGGTCACTGGGGTTCCATCTGGAGGAGGCGGGATGCAGCACCTACCCCATCTGGGACTTCCCGGTGATCTCGGCTCTCTTTGGGACCTGGAGCATACTCCAGGAGCCGTGGAGCTCCCCCGTGGCCTTTCTCCTCTGTGGTTGTGTGCTGTAAAGATCTGTTGTCTTGATTTTTTTTAAACATTTATGTTCATTCCCAAATTAAGAATTATTTCTAGGTGGGTCTATGAAATGTTTCTGCATGAGATTGGCTTTTGAATTGTTGGGTTCTATTTTGTTGAAAACAAAGTAGTTCTCATACTCCAACATGGATAGTCAAGGGCCTGAATAGAACATAAGGCAAGAGAAGGAAGTTTTTTTTCTCTTTTTTATTGCCTTATAGCTTGAGCTGGGAAACCTCTCCTCATCTCCTGCCATCACTCTGGGATTTGAATCAGTTCCCCAGATCCCAGACCTTCAGATTCCATCCAATTTTACTGTAATTCACTTTCCTGGGTCTCTGATTTACAGACAGCTAAGTGTGGGCCATACCTTTCAAAATCATATGAGTCAATCCCTAATAACAAATCAGTCTCTCCTTCAATTATCTTTCTGCCCTTTGTTCTGTTTTTCTGGAGAATTCTGTCACTGAGAATAGCAGTTGACACGATTAAGACGTGACTAAATTTATCTTCATATGTTCTTCACAGGTGAACACAAACTATTTTTAATCCTTCATAGTAGTTTGAAAATGATGACTTTTCTAAATCAGTACTCAATATAAATTGTCAGAGGCTATGTTCATCTAAAATGGCAGCTAAAATTAATATTAAATCATGATTATGTTTCTAGTAGCCCACTAATATCTACCATGATCTGAGTATTGCAGTGGTTATATTCTAGTGAACAAAATGGAAAAGAG